GTATGTTGCATGTCAACGCTAGGCAGCCTGGAGCTTGGTTGTCAGCGTGGTGTTTAGTCATAAGCCACGGCCAGCTGGTAACCTGAGGGGGCGTTGCACCCCGGAGTGCTCTCTAAGTCGGGCATCGCGTCCTTCCGCCCTTCGTGTCCGCCTTTTGTAAACACCGCTATGCAAAGCTGTTACAGGGACCATGCATAGCTTAGGCTCACGTCTCCCTCCCTTTCCGTTTTCCTTGTTGTGGGCGTCATTAGCCTACTAGGCGGTCCTATCCTGAACGAGCAAGAGCTGGTCATCCTCTGCGCCATTATCCTCGGAATGCTGGCCCTCGCAACCGCCGGCGCCGTAAAGCAGTTGTCGAAGCTAGCGGACGGACTGCTTGCGTAGGCGATTAACGCTCACTTCGTCTTCCCGCTGCGTCCCCTGCGCCGTGTGGCAGCGGTTTATGAACTGCCGTTTTTTCACCCAGGAATTGATCCGAAACCTTTAGATGCTGGTCCCCTTTGTTTATGTTCGTATCCGGAATTGCAATGCATCGTTTGCATCCATGCGCACAACTGGCCAGGTCGTGGAACTGTATGCCTGGATGGGTGGGGGTGGATGACTCGCTACGGTTTGATTTTGCCTGGTTTAATGTTGTTTGGTTTGGTTTACGCCGGCGCAGCCGACTACTCGGATCCATTTGAAAACGATGCATGTGTAGCCCCGCACAAGGGGTTCAGCACGGCCTGGGCATAGCGTCCAAACAATCTGATGGCGCCCTGCAACAACAACCTTGTACATTTGCCCCGCCTGGCAGCACTTTTGCTGCCTTCTCATCGGCAGGGGCCATTTCCTCGGGAAACTTTCAACCCGCCATCGGCCAGCCGGGAGCCCGCACAGGTCTTCTTCTCAATGGCAGGTGTGCGGGTGCCATGCGCGTATTTGGTTACTTCTTGATTTGCAAGCAACAAATATCGATAGTTTAGAGCGTTCGAGAGCCTATGTTTGCATTCAGCGTAGTGGCTAGATTGGTGTGGTGGATTTGTTGTCTTACACGGGATGCATGTTGCCTCTGTTCCGTGACGTGAAGCGAACAACAGCCTAACGCTTAGCTGCCTTCCCTTGGCGAAGGTCCGCATACGAACAATTGCTTATTGATTGTCCATTACCTTGTTTGAAGGTGCTGGTTGATAGGCAGGTCTCAAGTTTGGGCAGGTTCCTTGGCAGGGGATGTCTGTTTGGGCATTCTTCAGGTGGGTCACATGACCCATGGTTCAATGAAGTCTGTTGGGCGTGTTTAGGCATGGAAGAGAATGTGGCAATGTTGTTCTTTTGGCAGTTGCCTCTGAAAGTTTGTATGCGCGAGGCTCCTTTTCGACGAATTAGATAATGTCCTGGTTTCGGATTTATCGGCTGTACATTTTGGTGGAATGGTTCGGGGTTGTTGGCGTTCGGCGCACGGACGTAAACACCTAGCAGCAGCTTTTGATGCGCTGTCTTGCATTTGTCGTAAATTTTTTGCATTTTAGCCAGGTTGTGACCGGCAATTACTCCTTGCTTGGTGTTGTTGTAGTGTTCCTTCGGCGCTTGTTCCGATACTCCTTGTTCCGCTTGACTTTTCCTGCCGCTTGGTTCCACGGTGCCCGAATTGGCATGAGCCCCCTAATGCGGCATTGGATTGCATACATGTTGTTGTCATACAATTCGCAAGTTTCACCGCTCGTTTCACCCCTTGTAGAGATGAGGTGAGGGCTCCCGATAGCACCCGCGGTGACGATAGCACCCGCGAAGTGGCCCTGGCATTACCTGCCATACATATGAGGTACTGATGATCTCCCCCTTACCCCATGTAATACAATACGAACTATTAGCTGGCCTTCCCCTGAGCCATTGAGCCCGCTGTCCGGAACCCCGCTGGACCGCCATCTGGCGGCCATCATCTCTACATTCGGGCCGCTGATTGCTAAATAATTAATTACATGGCCTGAAAGTAATGTTAACCCGGTGTAATTCAGGCGATCCGTCCCTCATGCTTCGCTGGAGGAAGGTGTACGGCAGCGTCCCGCCTGTTTCCAGGAGGGCTCCAGAAATGGCTTGGCTAAAATTAAGGATTTACAAACTTACCTCTACTAAGACGCCAGCGGTTCCTGCAAATCCCTCAACACTTGTTGAACTCATGCTGCCGATGAAATAGACTCTCGACGTCTTTTGGGTTTGTTTGTAGGCACCTGACAAAAAAACATAGAAGGCTGACAGTAGTTTACACGCATAACAGACTAACACTAGTCAGCGCGCGGGTCAGACACAAAAATTTAAAACCCGATTGCCGATTGCACCAAGTGCGAGTATTGAAAGGGAAGGCAAACACCAAAATATGGCGGCAGCAAAGCGACCAACAGCAGCAAAGGGTCGTGGAAGAAATGCTCCAGACCATGCCTTCGCGCCATCCAGCCCAGCCGTTGACTCGATGAGATTAAGGAGCTCTCTGCAATGTAAAACTCAGGCGTCCAAGGGCCTTACTGACTTGCTGAGGAATAAATTAATCAACGTCTGGTGGTAAGCTTTGTGTGGGCGGGTGTGAGGATGCCACTCCCCATACTGTTGGCCGGAAGAACTTACAGTGTAGGGACATAATTTCACGGGAATGGCGGTATTATAGGACTAGACTGGGCCATCAGCGCTTACTGCAAGTATGCCGCGTCCTTCCAACCCTTCGTCGCAGCGTGCTTGGCGGTCCCGTCTGGAACACGACGGAGATGTCGCTTGTTGTCCTCTTCCTGGTGGGCGCCTTGGCCCTCGGCATGTCCGGGGCCTTCAAGCAGCTGTCCAAACTGGTGGCGTTGCTGCATTAATGGACACAACACGCACGGCAATTCCGGTCCAACTGATCAGCGACGTACATGCCTACATGCCATAGCGGACGTGCCACGACGACAGCAGCTTAACGATGGATGCTTGCTTAGATTTGAGCGAAGATGCGCTGCTGGCCATCCTCAATCTGCCGCAGCAATATTTCTGGAATTATATTTGGGAAGAATCCGTGGCTATAGAAACCCGTGACAGCTTTCTGCGTGCGTAATATTGCGCCATTTGCCACCGCAACAAATGCAGATGGCCCGCGATATTAAGGGGTGCAAACCTTGAAAGGCCCCACCCAGTTTTCCTGACCTTGTGGGGCTGTGCATGGAACAGCTATTTGAACAGGCCCTCCCATGAGCGACAGCGACACGGCACGCGGGAAGCATATTTATCTTTGTGTAGATGACCCCCGGAAGACGAGTTGAGCAATGAAATTATTCCTCATCACTTGGGATACCACTTGCGCTAAGGATTGCTATCGCGGGTGGTGCTATTGCGCGCGACATGAGCCAGCGGTTTCGGGATGACCCGGGTGATTCCATTGCTGCATCGTTTGAAGTGATCACGGGGGGAGCACATAGTGGCAGCGAATGTTTTGAATTGCAGTTGCCGTCCAAGCCTCTTATAGTTTGGGGGATAAGGCGGTATCTGACGGCAGAGTGGTGACGGCGGGTCCCTTAATAGCACTACTGTGGAACCTGCACCCGTGTTAAAAGCGTGCCGCGTTGGTGGATAAAACAGTGGCCGTTCAGCACATATGCATAGCCCCTCGGAGGAGGGTGTCAAACCTAGCCAGTTTTATATCTTATCATATATATAAAAAGGGGAATGAACGTTTTGGCTTCTCGTGGGTGTTTACTTCGCGGTGAACATGGAATGGTAAGGTACTTTACTATTAAGCAAGTAGGCGATGGTGAAAGGGTGAGGTCCGTGCTTTTCTTGGGGATGGTGAGAAATGGCTGAGAGGTGGTGGGATGTGGTGCCAGTGACCTGCGGATGGAATACCTTGCATACCTCGTGGCCAGGTGTTTATGTCTTAGCTGAGGTTGTTGTTTAGCGTGCGCTGCTTTATATGTGTCCATACGACGAGTTAAATATATGTCATGAGTGCAATTAGCGGCATTCCGGACAGTGGGAATCTGGTGGGTATACTTTCCATTACATGCTCTCTGTGCGGGAGAGGGACCTTTTCCTACATAGCAGCATGATAACTATACCCTGCTTGCTTTCAGGGGACCTCCCCCCGCCTCTCCCTCAGAAGAGTCGCACATAGACCTCCTTGCATGGAAAACAGGCTGATTAGACAAACGCCCTTCAAACCATCAAGGACGCTGAACCTTGTTTTTCATTGTGAGGTCAGCAAAATTAGCGAATGAACAAATCAAAGAGCTTCTTCCAAGTCAAGCTATCACCACACAATTCAGTCAGCAACACATTTTCAGACAGACTCCCCTCACCCATACAATCGTCCAAAATTGGGTGATGAATCGCCTTGAACGGTCGCAGCTCCAACCTGTAACCAAAAATGGATCATGTATCCAAACCACCCGGCTCGACCAACTTGAATTGTAACCGCTGCGTCAAAACTCAAACTGAAAGCGAACCGCACTACACCTTTGCCATCATTCACATCCCTCATCCATCGAGACGATATTGCCACATCCGCACGGCCAAGGGCTGGCCTTAATCGTCCACAACATAGCACCCTTCTCCGTCAGGCCTACGGTCGATCACCGAAGACAGGCTACGATTCCAAGCAGAAGCAAGTCCAATCAACCCATCTTACCGCACGCCCTCCTTCCCCTCCACATCACCACCACTTCGTCTGGTGCTGTCTGGTGCTGGGAAGTGCTGAGGAGGAGACAACAAATTCCAAAGGCGGCGTGGTTCTCATCTTATGTAAATCATGGACTTCCGCCCCATGCAAAGCGGGGCATGTGACCCTAGCGGACCTGAGCCTGCGTCGTCGGACCTCACCGGCCGACGGTCGCGCCGTCGTTAGGCGCGACAAAAAAAGCCTCAAACCAATTCAGACCAAATTACCATCCCGCTATCACCCCGCCCAGCACAAAGCGCCCCCCCCCTCACGCAAAGCCCTTTCCTCCCTTGCCCCCCCGGGATGGCGAGGTCTCCCCCAGGAGCTCCTCCTGGCTCAGCTCGTTGGCACTACGAGGAACCAGCTCGTCACGGCGCTTTAGAATGTACGACTGCAGCTCTCGAAACCTGCGGCAGCGAAAAGATGGCTCATATGTAAATCTATGCACCATTCGTGCGTTGCATGTATGTGCATGCATGTGCATGCATGTACACCTTGAGTTGCGTACACGCATATACATGGAGTGGGTGGCAAGGACTGTTGCTGTGGTGGTGGCTAGGAATAGCGGTTAGGATTCGGTTATCCATGGTGTGTGATGGTGAGTAGTTTCTATGGTTCTAAAGCCCTATCACCCCACCTGTCCAGTGCGCGCATCTCAATCTTGCTGCCGTCCCGGAGCACCACAACCATGTCACCCCACACACCCACGCCACGGGGAATGCTCCTGCACGGCGAAAAAACGTTTTCACGCGTCATGATTAAGACAAAAGCACTGCAAGGGCCAGCAAGCAGCTTCATCCAGGAAGCATACTCGTCCTGAACGCGGTGGGAAAGGGTAGACTGGCACAAAGGCAGGGCGTGTAAGCAAGGGCATGTGGCTGTAGGGCGAGGTGGAATTTCCTGGCGGGCTCAGGTTTACCTAGGTGTTGCGGACAACGCCTCCTCTCCCTCTCCTTTGTAAGTTCTCTCTCTTCGGTATTGGATGTCCAGATCAGGAAACCTCTACTTCCCCTCTCTCACGCTCGGGCTTCCAACAAACCGACCAGTTACCGACCCTATTCGCCGCGATACGCGCACCACAAGGGCACAGTCGTACAGTCGTACACTCGTTCATATTTCCGTACCTTACAGACCGACCTCCCATCACTCCTGGTGCGAGCACCTTCCCTCCCACTGCGTTCTAATGCCCCATTCCCTCCTCCCTCACCACCGATCAGCACATCATCAGCCCCCTTGATTTGTGCCCACCTGACTTCCTTCACCTCTTGGTACGCCGCATCCAGCTGCTCAGCTGGGGTATGTGGTATGGCGGTGGCGTGTGGTGGTAGTGGTAGTGGCGATGGTGGTGTACGAGAATGTTCGGTTGGGGGGACGGCCCAAGGAGGCGAAATCGCAACAGGGACAATACATGGATCAATGGTGACACACATCAGACTAGGAAGGCAGGATGGCAAGATTAAGGAACTACAAGATACCGTCCTTGACCGAGACTACCTGATGTGGCATTTTTGTAAGAGCGGGCGGGAATGGCGCCTATGACGGAGACCAAATGACCACTCAGCCCCGGGGCAAACGAAACCGCGCAGCGAATCCTGCTCGACAGAATTTCTGCAGCACTCATGAGCTACTTGCATTCACGTATTTTTTTCCTGTGTTCAAAATAATAAAATTCATATCTTACGGTTGTACATTTATAGTTCCCTGTTCTCCGGACTCTTCCTCTTGGGAATGAACACACATTGCTCACTTTTCCAAGGTGCGTTCGTGGAAACGGAGATGCGCTTGTCGGTGAACTTGTAGTTCACGAAGAGCCCGCGGCCGAGGGCGGCGATGGTGAGGGGCAGCCAGAACAAGGTGGTGCCCAGCAGCACATTGATGGCCAGATCGCCACGGTGTGGCGGTCCCTCGTAGTACACCGTCTCGCCCGAAAAGTCGTACACCACCTTCTCCTTCTCTGCAGTACGTCCACAAGATGCAAGTGACATGGAGTGCCAGGGGAGTATGAGGGGATCATGTAGATTTAGCAAGGGCACTCTGAACCGTTGTAACGGCAGCAATACGACTCAGGCCAGAGGAGAAGCAGTGACCAGTGGTTCACAGTCCTTAGCGAACAAACATGCAGAAACATGCCCGGGAAGATTCCAAGAATACAGACACAGGGAGTACTTCATTGCTGGGCTTACTCTTCTTAGGAGTTTCCTCTGGTGCTTTCACAGGAGCTTTCGATGTCTGGCCATATGGGGTCTCGCCCTTAGCCTGCTTTAGCTTCGCAAGACGCCTCTCCAGCTCTTCATCATCTGCGTGGTACGAATATTGCGTCAAGCCGCGACTTGGAGCGAAAAACGATGGACAGGTACACAAGCATTTACCATCCACGGCCGGACCGGCCCGCACCACCACAACACGCCGACCAGAAGAGGCCCGCAGAGAAGGCAAAGCAACCTGTCTAAGCGCTTGCCGTTGTTGCATGGCATTGCAGCTGCATGTGTTCGTCCGCTGCATCGCGACGCGCATGGTTCGCGTGCCTTGAAAGTACTAGCGCTAGGATATTTAGTCGTCGCAGTTAATAGGCGATAATCACAGTCATACAGCAGTGGTTTCCGTTGATTCAATCAGGAGTATTATGCATCAGCCACACGATTGTGCGTTGCAGTACCACTGGAACGGTTGCGTATTTTTATCTTTGCCTAACAGGTGACAACGCTAAGTACATAATTCATTACTTTGCTAATCATATATGCAGCCTTTGCTCGGAAAAGAACGGTCTTCCTGGGATGAGATTGCTCGAGCGCGGTTCCAAAGAGCTATGGGTGCATCCCCGAGGATGGATGGCCTAGACAATTGGGGAGACAGCGTTCGCCTGGTCTCGCCTGTTCGTGGGAAGGTCCAATGAAAGGTGCTCTGGGACCGACCACAAAACTGAGCCTAAACTGTGGCCCTGGCCCAGCTTCTCTACCCCAGCGATTCTGGCCATGTGATGCTGTCACTGTTGCGATGGGCCCCCAGAGCCCGGATGTCCAGCTAGTGGTGACTGCCCATCCTCGTCTGCACCCTCCTGCCCTGCTCCTGCTGTGGCGGTTGCTGGTGCTGCTGGCCCTATGGCGCCGGCAGACCATCACCGCAGCAGGGGCGTCCATGTAAATACCCGCATGGTCAGCCATGTAAGGACTCTGGGAAATCATCAACGAGCCACCGAAGGTAGTAGTAAGCCGTAACACCTGTCGGCCGCACCCGCTTGCGCAACGTTGAAGTGACAAATCCCTCTGGCGGACACACGGTTCTTCTCCCATACTGCCACCATTGCAGCGCCATCTCTGCGCTCATTTGCCGCGAGAAGGTTTGATGCCATCAGATAAGGTGGTTTCCGTCGCGCCTCATTGAAATGGCCACTTTGGTGTCTAGAAGGCAGTCCTCTTCCGTTGGAGCGACACTGAAGTGAATGCGGCACTGCTGGCGCCACATGGTTTGCACCACAACGCTGACAGGCTGCTCCCAGAGAAATGTATAGTGATCGGGCAAAACCCATGCTGCCCAAGTGAGCTGCATTGGGGGCATTTCCTGCCTGCTGCCAAGACTGCCTCCGTGGTAGCCGTGCGTTGCGCTGCAAGCAGCGCCTTGTGAGCATTGTCAAAGTCTGCTGAGACCAAGTCCCGAAAGTATGCAGAGGTTAAATTCTCGCTGTACGGCAGCGGACGCGCTTCAGGAGCTTCACGGCCTTCTTCGCTGTCTGACAATGATGATCCACTGTCACTGTTGTCCGCTACCTCGGGCCTTGAGCCCGCTTGAAGCCACTCTTCATCATTCGCATAGGCTTCCAGGGTGATCTGGTTTTTCTGAGCGGACTGGAAACGGCCATTTGGTCCATGCAGTGGAGTGGCAAATACTCCCTCGCTACGTGGTTACGGGGGCCGGCTTTCTTCGGCCTTCCTTTTCCTCTTTCTCAGCAAGCCTACATCGTTTGCGACGTTCATGATCCTTCCAGTATCGTGATATTTCTGCTGTGGCTCTTGCTGCGGTGTCAACCATGGAGCATGGGAGACGATATATGGTTGCAAACATGAAAACCAACCCGGCACTGTTACCTGGCCCTTCCCTTACGGAAGGAGCCATTTGTCGAGTTATTGTTGACTTTTTGGGCCGCCTTCAGGGTTTCGCAGCTCTGGGAATTCCACGGAAAGGTTGGGATTCTGTTGGCGCACATCACCCCTTCTTGAGAATTATATCAGGCAAATTGCTATGCTCACGGGAGCGGTCACCGATGGACGGTCAGTTATCTGGGTGGTTGTCTAATTTGTATATTAGTCTCTACTGCAGTGCACGGCCAGCTGGCCCGATGGCTCTACTCTTCGGGAGTCTGGAGCCCACTGTAACCACCACACACACATTTCTGCGAAAGTCCTGAATTTTGGCATCGCTAGACAGGCATCAGGGTATCATTGTATTTTGTTGATCAAACAGTTGTTTTACTACGTTATTTTGAACATGCCATGCGTTATTATCAGCTTGCACGAAAAGGTCAGGTCTGCATCTGATAAATTAGAAGCAGGATGAATTTATTGTTACATCAGCACCCGTTAAAGATAAAAGGATATAAGCGTGCTGTTGTTGTTTGGTTTACAAGCTTAACCGCGCAGTAGCCATGGTACGGCATGTAGATCTGAACAATTGGGATTTGAACTTAATGTGCAGGCGTCTTTAAGGGGCGAAATTTCTTACAGCAGTGCTTCTAGGGACAGTTTAGGCTCCGTTTTGTGGTCGGTCCCAGAGCACCTTTCATTGGGGGGAGCAGTTGGACCCCGAGACCAAGCAAACGTTGTCTCCCCAATTCGCTAGCCCATCCATGACTGGGGATGCATCCATAGCTCGTTCCAAAGCTTACACGGCTTGGCAAGTGGATGTACTATACACCATGAGCCATGCGCACACCCAAGGCCCATTAAATGCCTTTTCCTGGCCATGCCTGTCCTCTTTATAGGGTATCGCGCACAATGAGCCCATGACCCGACGGTGCCTCGACGATGACACCTACTACAGTATAAATATTTGGTTGTTTAAAATACAATCCTGCCTAGTAGGTACCTACCAAGCAGCCAAGCTGCCGTCGTTACACTAATGGACTTCCAAGTTCGACCAAGTTGGGCTTAGGCTTGTCAACTTTTAAACCAACCTAGTCCTCGTAGCACAGGCACGCCACTTCAACGCGTCCACATCAGAGCAGCAGTAACCGCCGTCCGCCATTAGCCGCGATGTCCTCCTTAGCCTTGCTCTCCAAAACACGGCTGTGGGTACGCTGGCGTGATCTGGCCTGTTAAGTAGCAGCTTCCCAACCCGTCGTCCACGTTCCACCCTACCAGCCTCCCTACGTTGCCAAGGCTTTGCGCTGCTCAGCGTTAGATTAGCTTGTTCTCTGCACTGCCTCTGATTCTCAATGCCTCCAGCTTCTCTGATGCCTTAGCTGCAGCGGCCCGGACCGACCGTCGGCCCGGCTGGCTACATGAATCCGAGGCCTCTGTTGTGCCCTGTGACGCCGCCTGTCGGTGGCTGGCGGGGCCGGCACCCCGCGACCTGCCCTTCGCCGCTTTGCTGGCGTCGACAGCGGCGGTGAGTGCTTTGGCGGTGGATCCGTCCTCGCCGCCGCCGTCATCTTGGGAGTCGAAATCGCCGCCGTCAGAGTCGGTGTCGGAATCTGCGTCCGCTGTGTTGCGTGTGTCATTTCGCCGACTGACGCCTGCGGACGGCCCGCGACTCGAGGCGGCTTTGCCGGCCTGCCGGGTGGTCCTGTGGGTAGTTTAGTTGCCAGGGCAGGCATCTCTTTTCGCGCACATGTCGTATGCCCTATGGAGTGCTCAAGTCCAAGATGACGAATGCGGGGCCAGTCCAAACAAGAGCCGTGTAACTTAAGTCTCAAGGCCAGACAGTTCTGCACAGGCTGCCCTCTGCTCGTAAAGCCTCGCGAACAAGGCAATCTCGAAGCCCACTCGATGCGTGGTGACAGCAACCCTTTCTTGACAACAACCGCCTTTTTCCCTGAGCACGAACGAGGGCTTTGTTTCAAAAACGGAACGTGGGGAGATTTCCTCTCACTCTGCACACTGCAACCCAGGCGACACCCCCCTTGCCGCCCTGCTGCGCACCGTGTGTTCGTGCCGGCGCTAGCCTTGCCCCTGCTGCCCCTTGCTGCAGTGCCCCGCTTCCTGGCACGCGCTTGGTCCGCTGTCGCTCCTGCCCGGGACGCGTCCACGCGCAACGCGTCGCAATCATCATCCGGTGCCAGCTCCGCGGTGACATCCTCCAGGGAGGGTAATTCCTCTAGGCGGTCCTTGAGCTGCTCCTTCAGCGTCTGTGTGCGTGTGAGAGAGTGTGTGTCAGGCCCTTACCTTAGTTAAATTGTGTCGATTTGGTTGGGTTTGGATTGAGCTGGAGTTAAGAGGCACAGTGTGGATGAGGGCAATACGGTACGGAAGGCATGGGCATATGGAAATCAGGAGGCCATCCAGCAGGAGCAGACAGCCCGGTGCAGGGAAGTTCATCAGTCATGACGCAGAAAAGCATCTCGTGCTGTGCAGTTCCAAACACACATAGACACATTGGCCAACCTCCTCCCTGTTTCAGCACAAAATTGCATACACCGTCTTCGTGCCTTTGTACGTAAATTAAGGCTCCTGGCCTTCAGCAGGAACTTGCACAGGGCCCCCAGTTTACCTGCAGGAAGACTTGGGCGTCTTCCTTGCTCAGCGGCGCCGTCTTGGCCTTCTGAAGCTCCTCCAGCTCGCGAACGAATTCCTGTGCACGGAATCACGTATCACGCCAGTTGCTGCTGCGGCTGCTCAGCTCTGAGCTGTGCCAGAAGTACGGCAGGATTTCCACAGACGAGCAACAGGCTAAGATTGAGTCAGAACTGGTCGTGCACATGCGTATGGGTTCATGGCAGTGTTGGGATGATGAGTTGATGTCCTGACATGCATGGGCGAGATGCAGGGGCTGATTACACAGCGGTCGGTAATGGCCATGAAAGCACAAATCTCTTCCTTGTGGCGGCACAACTTAACCATTCCTTTTTCGTCATGACTTCTCGGGGTCGTGTGAGCAGATCCCCTCCCGATGAGGAGCACCCAGGCAACCGCCATCCAACCACTACCCTGTTCCCCCCCCCCATTACCACCCTAGGCCATGCCACACCCTGGCCAACGCCACACCACACTACGCTGTGCATAGCCACCTAATGGCTCACCCACCTGCAGCTTCTTGTAAGCGGTATCAGGTACCACTGTCTTAACCAGGCTCTCGCCGACCGCCAGCACCGCACGGCGTCCCAGGTACGCCAATCGCCGGATGCTGGTAAGGCCGGCGGCGTTGGCTTCCACGCCGGTGAAGGGCAGGCCAGGCAAGAGCCGCATGGGTGTCTGCACGCAGACAGTCAGCAGACAGTTGAACATAGGCGCCCAACAGCGAGTGGATGTCACCCGTCCGTGAACCTATACTCTGTGTCCTTCAAGGAATCTGGTGCTGGCTGCTGGTCCCCGGGCCCCGACTGAATGTACCTTGCACAGCTCCGCTGCGTAGGCTCGCACCCGGCCCTCGCTGGTGTCCAGGGAGGCGCTGCCTGGGGAGCCCAGCCGGACAACCTCCTCCAGAACCAGCTCACACAACTCAACCACTGCATCGACAGGCTGCTGGATAACGGCTGATGCGGCTGCAGCAGCAGCAGCAGCCGCGCCAGCGGCGGCCTGGTCTTGGGCGTCCTCACGGGAGACCATGACGTCACCTTTTGGAGGAGTGAAGACGTAGGGAGGTGTGTGAACGGCTGAGAGGCGAGTTCTCGGGCTGCAGTGTCTTTAAGCAGCTCCAGTGCGAGAATGGTGATGTTAGGTGGGAAGGGAAGGTGAATGATATGGACAACAAGACAAGACGGTGAAAGAGTGGACAGATGCATGCCAACTCTTCAGCGCTCCATAGTGTACCTAAGCCATGGAAATGGTGGTGGTCTGGAAGTGTGGACATGACCCTTGGTGGCGCATGGCGATGATAGCCCCCGTTTAAGGTTCCCGTAGCAGTAGCTGCATGCACCTGTCGCCATTCAACGCAATCCCACCACCACCGTAGCCGACGGTAGCCTTACCCGTAGCTACCGCTGTTGGAATCACTGCAGCCGCTGCAGAGGCCAACAGCTCGCCTGTAAACTCCATCAGCGCGGGGGCCGCACAGCCGCGTGCAGTGGCGGGGGCCCCCACCGGCGCCGGCAACGCCATGGCGTAGCGTGCAGCGTGTAGGAAGGAGCCGGCCAGCATGCGGCGGTGCACAGCCCCATCGTCGCCGGCCGCTGATGCCGCTTCCTGTGTGGAGGGGCATGCGTGTAGGGGCGTGTGGGTGGCGTTACGGCGCAGTATGGGGTCAGGGTTGTCCCTCGCAGCGGCATCCCGTTATAACTGGTTGGTAAACGTGACCCAGTTGACCCACCTGAAAGGACTTAAAGAAGGCGGACAGCTGTGACCGCAGCCAGGGCTCCGACTCCAGGGAGGGACTGAACCTGGCAAGCAGCAGTCGGGTAAGCAGCTGCTCTGCCTGGCGAGGCTGCAGAGAGCGAGGAGGTGGAACGGTGAATGTGCGCGGGAAAAGGACTGGCTCGGGATGGCTGTGAGAAGCTGAGAGCAATACAGGCAAATAAGGAATCCATCCCAGGCCGAGGAGGGCGCGAATTGGCTCTGCTGCCCGCCGACACTCTAGGACATTAGGGGAGACAGAAGCGGAGGAGGAGGAAGAGAGCCGTCATACTCATCCTGTTCCTCTTCTTGAACTGCAATACACTGGGAGTGCCGCATGTGTTGCCGCATGAGAGACTCCAAGGACCCGGGCCATCCTGCTTCGTTCGTTGCTTGCCCCACAGGAAGATACAGAGCACCCCTTGCTAAGGGGCTAGGTACGGCGCTATACGGCGCCAGTGACACTCTTCCCGGGTGCTGTGCGTGCTGCTCCATAGCCGGTGGCCTCCATAACTTGCCTGCATGGCTGTGACGACCTGGTGCCGCAGCCGCGCTTTCAGCCGGAGCTGGAAAGGCCAGCCGTGGACTAGACGCGCGGACCCCAGCAGAGCGTCCGCCACTGCGCCACGTGCCGCCATATGGACCTCGGAACCCTGTGCAGCACCCGAAGGGGCCGCAGAGCCCGACGGGCATAAGGAAGAAATAATGCCGAAAAGGTGTTTGGATCGTGTGCAAGAAACAAAGAGACAACTGGCGATGCACAAGGGAAAAAGACATTGTTCAGTCTTCAATGCGATGGTGGTAATACCATGCACAGTTGTCCGGACGCAGCAGGCCGCGAAGGATAGAGATGGCCATGCCTGGAGAACTGGGATTAAAAGTTGCCCCCGGGGTTGGCCCCTGGGGCCAGAAAGGCGAAAGAGTTGGCGGTTGAAGCACAAGGCTTTATGAGTTACGCTGGGAGCTCTTTTATAAGGCGCTGATGCAAAGCCTGTGCTAGAAGTGTCCTTGCGGTGCTCATGTGGAGCGTGTGCCATTAATCCTGACCTCCACTTTCATGCGGTCGCCGTGCCACGAACAGACATCGTCCCGTTACTAGGCACTACGTACGTTAGACCAAACATGTTGTGTTCAGGTGCTTTGGATAAACGGCAGCAATGGGCACCCAAGACGCGCCTGGGGCTTCCTCATGATGCCCTCCGTCAAACGCAGCAGTATCGGTACGACGCCATGCCGCTCCGACCCTGCCGCCGCCGCCGCCGCAGCAGCCGCAGTCGGCTGCTGGCCGCTTCCACTCCCATTCATGCCCAACGTCGCCAGCTGCGCCGTAACGTCATCCACATGGCGTTGCCCTTCTGCCGCCGCGGTAGCCTTCCGCAGCTCCGTTGTTAGTGTCGGCTCTCCCCACGTCAGCGACAAGTCCAAAAGGCCCTGCAGGGCCACTCGTCGGGGTAGCTGCTGTTGGGCCACAAAGTCACGGTCGTCGTCGCCATCATAGGCGACCGTTGCAGTGGCCGCAGCTGCGCTGCTCGCAGCCACGGCGGGCAGCAATGGGGCCAGGACTGCCCCGGCGCGTGGTAGATGTGCCGCTCCCCCGTCCCGCAGGCACAGCTCCACATAGCAGCGAATGGCAGCGGCACTGAAGGCCGTGGGAACAGGAGGGAAATGGTGGAGGGTGCGCTGGTGGAGGAGGAGGAGGAACAGTAGCTGCCGGGCGATGGGTGAGGGCAGGAGGTCGCCACAGGACGTGACTATGCCGACGAAAAGTCGCAAACAACCTCTTTAGGTCTTTAGCCAGGGTATTTCACCGCTCGAGAGCTGGATTTTGCAGCTCTACCGTCAGATAGCATTCTAAAAGGAACATGGCCCCTTTAAGCCACAAGCGGTGAGCCAGCCGGAATGGGAAATTGCGTGTCCGCCTGCAGGGAACGCCTTCGGTCTGCATGCTCGAGGTTCGCGTGACACCATGCAGCACCAATATCAACAAACCAAATCACAGCACGTAAACATGCAAGGCCATGGACCAGCGACTGGGCCGGACGCGACTCGGAGACAACACGTCCTCGCGCGCAGTTGTGAGTACATGGAGGAAAGGCCCAGAGCAGCAGCCCAAGAGGGAACCCACAAGGCCCTTGCAGCGGCTGTCAAACCGCTCACCGCACGGCTGGCGATGGGTTCCCGCTCGCAGTCCACGCCAACCTATCCACCGCCTGAGCTAGCGTCCAACTGGGCTCACTGCCGTCACTGCTGCTGCATGCAGCACCAGCAGCAGCCGGAAGCGGTGCTGGCGCGCTGGCGGATGGCGGCACGCTTGGTCCCGCTGCTGCCATGAGCAGGTGCAGGAACGTGAGCGCCTGGAGGAGAGGCCCTTCAGCAGCAGTTGCAGCTGCTGCGCGTGGGAGGTGCGGGTTGGCCGAAAGCTTAGCTCAAGGGTTGGACAACGTGGCTTCCTCACAAGATCACCAGGAAAGCGTGCGGCTGTAGATCCATGTCCAGGGAAAGATACCGATAAGAGGTCTTGTTTGCTGTGGCGCATGACAATGGCGACATGGGACTCTACCCTGGCGACGGACCCATTATTGGGCCTTGGTATTACGACTTGCTTTGTTGAGTCATCCATATGTAAGTAACGTCATTCACGCAGGACGTGATTTCACTCTGTTGTTCAACTAGTTCAGTAAACCCAGTCGCCCCTTGACGCCATGCCGCCGCGTCAGACGTTCACCCACGAGATGAAGGCAAAGGTTTCCATGCAGGCACCATGCAGGAACCCTCCACGTCTTCCGAACTGGGCCCCGTCGCCCCTCGCTACCGGTCAACCCACCATCATCATGAATCCTCCCGCCATGCTCAGACGGTCTCCCCGAATCCGCAAGTTCCAGGACCATGGGCAACACGCTGTGGACCAGGCCCGAGCGGTCGCTGCCATAAACTGCTGCCGCAAACTGCAGCACGGCGGCCTCCCAAGCACCCCTGCCGCTGCTGGAAGCCGGCTGAAAGGAATCCCGCGCCTTGCACTCCGGGGGTTCAGCGCCGTCGGGCCTGCGTCAGGACGGGTGTCAGCAGTCAGAGGGGATGCATGTAATGTAATGTTACAGTGGGAGGCTCCTGGGCCGCTTTATCACATTGTCAGTTCTACGATTTATCACCAGAGGGGATGCGACAGGACAACAGCTACGAGATACTTTCCGGCGAGGATCGACCGACACGCAGCAGCTGGAAGGGACGTCCAGATCTCTTGGCTTGCCTGGAAATTTGGGTGATGAGGATCCGCAGCGCCGCCTCTGCTGCGCTCCGGCTGGATGCATCCACCCAGTTCTGCGCAACGATACAGCAGTGACAGCAGGACAACCGCAGCACTAGGTAAGCCGAATTAGCGATCACACCCCGTGCACGCGACTGACAACTCGAGAGAGCCTTTGCCTGCTGGACGGCTCCTAGCCGGTTCAGTTCACCTGGCAAGCTAGGCAGCAGGTACCAGCAAAAGTTAGCAACGCGGTGAGGAATGGGGCTGCATGAGCCTGGTCGATGTGCGGTCAAGGGCCTCCGCAACATGCTCTGATGATTTCCCCCAGCCCGACCCAGGCTCTGAAGGGGGCACTTACCATGTACGAGAGGGTTGCCGACTCTAGAAGCTGGGTCGTGATATAGCGGTATGAAGGCCCTGGCGAACGGTAAGGAAATGCAGGGCTTAACTTACATATGGGACAAAGTCGAAAGGTTGGATGCATAAGGACAGTAGAGGTTGGATCCTCGTGTCTGTTCAGTTTCCCGCGTTTTGAAGGAATTTGAGCGGACGAGGCGGCCGCCAAGCGTGGCATTCGTTACGTAAGAGAGACATGCGGTGTCCCCGCATGGTAGAGGGCGTGTCAAGCTAAGACATGGACCCATGCCCGGGTGTGGGTTTTACGTTGTGTCGTACAGCTCTTCACAGTTTTTTCTATTTTGCTAATCCCAGGGGCTGCATCCCGCACGTACCCCTACCAGCTTACCAGCCTCCGCTGCGAGAAGACACAGCTTAGCCATCTGCTGCGCCACCGGCAGGAAGGCTTCCAGCACCTGCACAGCCGAGGCGACAGGAACAGCTCAACAGTGTTTAACTGGACCCGTGTAGAAGGCTCACAGCTGTTGTGACAAGCAAGCCCAGGACAGCGTTGAAACCCAAGAGCAGCTGACCTCCTACGCAGTCCCTAGCCTGCGACAGCTTCACGCGACCTGGTTTTCATCCAGACACGCACACGCACACGCGCACACACACACGCACACACACGCGCACACACACACGCACCGCACACACACACGAACACGCGCGCACACGCAAGCAATAGGCCAACCTGCCCAAGCACATTAACCTCACCGTAACCTCACCGTCTCGGCCTGTGCGCCTGCACTGGCCTCCACTTGCGCCACCACCCCCGCCACCTTCTCAGCGGCGACTCGGCCCTTGCCAGTGGCTACGTCCGTCACCTTCCGGCTGGCGAAAACCCACACAGTAGCCAGCGCGGGGCTCACGCCGGTCAGCCAGGACCCTACGGCACCGCCGCTACGGCCAGCCGCGCCACTCCTCGCCTGCTGGTGCTGCTCTTTAAACTGTTCAGCGACGCGCAGGAGGTCTGGCAAGCTCCGTCCAGCTGCAGTTTCGGCCTTAAGCCAGGCCTGGGGGGCCAATGAATACGTGTGCAGGGCACCTTTATAACACTGGGGGATGGAGTCCTTGATGGGAGCCGTCTGGTTGCACAGCAGTGTTGCTCGCGGGTTAGTGTCGTCAAACATACTAAGTTGTGGCGCCGTTGATCCGCTATATTTGGTTGGATGCTGGTGGTGAGTTGCCGAACCCAACGAATACATTCTGAAGTCGGATGGGGTGACGGATTAGGGTGCCCCTCTAGCAGGGGAGAGCAGGGACTGCCCGGGAAAGGGGCCGCTGGCGAAGTTAACCACCCTGTAACAACATACATACTAGCAACGCGAGCAGCAAGCCCCTCGGCCCCAAATCCGGGGCCTAGGGCAAGGTTGCGCAGAGCAGGAACCAGGCAGAGGCGCATGCACAGATGACCCTCACCACCTCGAAACAATCGCTACACACACGTTGACCCAAGCGATAGGTCGCCAAGGGCCTCCCTGTCACAGACTTGGTGCTTACTCAGCGGATCCTGGTTCCCTTCATCAACATGGGTGAGGCCGGTGACTGCATCGCGAGCCACAGTCAAAATGTTTTGGGTTCCTCAGCCAACTCTCTCACCTGCGGGTCCCACTGAGAATGCTCCACGAGCTGCTCCATGATAAGTTGGCAGAGCTCTACAAGCACATGGGCCGTGGCGCATGTGCCAACATGTCAAAGAAGGAGCCACACACTACGAGTCTTCTTGTCAACCGGCGCTTGTCAACCGGCGCACACAAACCTCTGATCTCTAATGCCCTTGCGGGCGCCGATCCCACCCGTCAACATGTTGCCACGTCGCGAGACGTGACCCGACACCGTAGACGCCCCACCTGCATTCGCCTGGGGGTTGAAAACCTCGACCAGCTTGACCACATCCCCTGCAGCGTCCTCCGTGAACCACTTGGCCAGCAAGCCCTGCGCGGCTTTGCGTGCCGCCGTGCGCGGCTCATGCAGGCCATACCACATCAGGGACGTGCGCTGTTCCACGCTGTCGCCATCCCGGAATAATCACGCCACGGAACGCAGGTTCAGCGTGCGAGGCAAAAAAACAAGGATGCGAGCAATGTAAGAACGAGGTTTTTAGCGCGTTTTATGATAGAACACTACGAAGGAGCTAAAGAGTCAATTATGGCAAGGATGCGCGCATGTGCCAGTTTGCGGTAGCGGTGTAGTGCCTCGAAGCAATCCGTGGAGACCTCAAGCACAACCCGGCAAGGGAATGACCTCGCATACTACTCACTATCTGCGTTGACAAAAGGGTCAGTAAGTGGGGCGCTTGAGCGCCTGGTTTCTGCCGTACCTAGTAGCCAGGCCTCCAGGTGTTGCTGGCTTCGCCATGGCCACGTCACGCGCGACCCTGTCGTACACCGCTGCGGCGACCTTTGCGGAACGATCTGACTGGTGCCGAAGCACTTCCAGCAGGGTCGGTTTGTCTAGCGGTAGCCGGTTCACGAGCTCCAACCGCACATCCTGCAGTAGGCATCAAGCGTGTGCACGTGCTTAGGACGCCGATGTGCATGTATGGAATCAAACGGAGCAGGGCCCACAACAGCAGGGCCCACAAACGGAGCAGGGCCCACGCAAGGTTTGTTAGCCCGGCCGCCTCAGCATGATTGCCAGCCAGCGAAAGTGCCGATGGTAGACATAAGCAGATTTGCCAAGCAGGGGCTGGCAAGGTGGGTTATTCGGGGCGGTCCATAATGCTCAAGCCCAGGGGAGCTGATGCGCACACGAAGCGACACGTTGCGTGGCTCTGGCGATGGCATTGTGTATGCGTGCGTGTAGGGAGCGGCATGAGTTCAAGAACCAAGAGCCCTCCGCGCACCTGGCTAAGGTCGCTGTGCAGCGCGTCCGTGAGCTCCGCGAGCAACTCCGAAACCTCAGCATCGCCCTCGCCATCCTGTGACGGGCCACAGATGCTGCATTTGGTCCCTGTTTCTACCAGATACGCGGGCATGACAGTTTCCGCTGCGGCGCAGGCAATGCAAATACACTTGAATGCGACGAAACGGATATACGTAGGTGTCCTCCGTCAGGGATTTGGATTCGGGGGTAGTTGGGGGGCCTGCACAAGAGTACGGGTTCGAGTCCGCCGAGGTTTGCGGTGTTGGACCTGCTGCGTGTGAGGCAGTTGGTGCTACACTGGAACGGCTTGCTCTCCACCGCGGCAACAGAACCCTGCAAAACAGGTATGTTGGTCTGGAACCAGCTCGACGACTTGCTGGCTATGCATTCAGTTCGTGGCGGGACCATAGGTTGGCGCCATGCGCTGTCACAGCGCGACGAAACCTACCTGAGGGAAACCCAGCTTGGTCAGAGCGATGACCACTAGCTGCCTGACCTTGTCATCCTTGTCAGGCAGGTGTTCACGAAGGCTCTTCACGACCGCGGTCCGGACACCTTCTTCCAAGGACATCTCTCGCCGCACGCCGCGGAGGACGGACAGAATCAGATCTAGGACCCGCACACGACTGTGCTTGGCGGCATGTGGGATCCACGCAGCCAGCTGCCCAAGCAAAACGCTGATGACTTCTTCGGCCCAGGGTTCTGCGGGCATTTGCCCTGCCCACTCTTTTATGCACCTCGGGATAACCTTGTCGGTTTCGTGCTTCTGTTGGGGGGGGGGGAGGGAAATAACACCCAGGCGCCGTGTCACAGCAGGAAACCATGGAAGGGGGACGCCACGGTTATCAATTGCCTATCGCATCTTGGGACCGGGTGCATGCGGCTGGCGTCAAGTTTCGTACCTCCGGTGCAGCAATGTAGACAAGCAGACATTTGGCAAACTGGGCGCCAGAAGCATTTGTGTCCTTGCGTAAAGCTAGCCAAAGCTTCCTCAGATGTGAGCCGTCAAATAAACCCCCATCCGACAGGCGCTCAAAGAAATCGATGACAGCGGCAGCGGCCATTCCTACGCTATTTGTGTATGAAGAGGCTACAAGGAGTGCTGCGTAAATAATTCGTCTGATATTTTATGAGGGTTCGCCGTTCTGTTTATTGCCCTACGGTAAGGAATAGCGTTGGCAAGCAGGCTGTTGTTGGGAGCGGTTTATTGTTTGAAAGGAGGATCCGCCCGTTCCTGCTCGGCACGCAACAACACCAATGCGCATGCACAGGTCAGTATGTGAATTGCGTGGTTTTACAAATATACATGCCCAAGCTCGCAAGCTACCAAGCCTTTGGGATTTAGTACTGCACGACTACCTAGCAACAAGTGGTCCAAGCAGAACTACATTGTATTCCAAACAAGATAGCAAGCTGCAGTGTATACGGATCGGAATGGTGCGCTTTGTAAGCTGAAACGCGACACGTCAGTTACATACTCGGGAAACATATTGTAAAGAAGAGAGACCGTCGACCTCTCAAACTGCGAGCTTCCTTTCGGTGATACATGATCATCAATGCAGGCCGCTGAACAGCAGCAAGGGTTGCCAAGGTATGCAGGAGGCTCACTTGCGGGCAGCTGCCATCCTGCCATCAGCGACATTGGTTGCCGTGTGGTCGTTCCAGGCGAAGAGACTACACAGATGAATTGCTCAAGGCCTTTCCTGGATCGCAGGTTGTAAACCCCGAGGGGTAAGTTCCGTCCCTGAACCACCGGGCCTACAGACTGGGTCAAACCTCGGGCAGACGTGCAAGGCCGCGTCAAGGCTGGATACCCCAGTAGGAACGCCTCTCTCTGTCACGTCACCGTGGGCATTTGGTGCTGAAGCAAGGAACGGGTTCCTGTGCTGTAGCCTCTGGGCGTTATTGCCCCGCCTAAGACGGGTGCGTGGCCTGTATGCCCCTCCGCGAAGTGGCTTTCCTCCCTCTCTGCACCATTGCTTCCCCATTACGTCCCACCCTCCGGTGAACCATGTAGAGTCCCCTCTACGTGCCTCCTTTCCTTACAACGCTTATATTCTCTTTTCATGTACATTCTCTTTGCATGCCCTGCCCCTTCATGCAGCTCGGTTGTGGACATTCCGTTCCAGCTGCCTAGCGGCCGGGTAACAGCACTACGGATCAGCCTTCCAGCACATTTCCCGCACGTAAGTTAGCACATCCAGGCTCGCAGTCCAATTGGCAGAAGCCTCTGACAGCGCCGCCGCCGGCTCGTGCTCAATCCCTTCAAGGACCTCCCCATATTCCTCTCGCTGTTTCACACTGTCGACGCCGCTGGCACCAACCCCGCCGCGCCACATGGTTTCCCCTTCCCTGCACTTGAAGTTTAGCACTGTGCATTGCACGACCAAATCGACCTATTGAATGGGCTGGAGATCTTAGCAGTGGACTTGGCTGTCGCCCGTTTTTCCCTCTAGTTGCAAGGACTGCCCACTGTCTTTTCCACCGACCGAAAACCTCAGCCCAGGCTTTAAATGCAATTTTGCACTAAGAGTTTGTTAATTCTAAAATACAAAAAATTTGTATAAATAATGGCGTCGTCTCGCGAATGATCTATTGTTAAGGATAATGGATACAATACCTTTGAATGTGGCTTGTGTGAATATTTTTTGGACAAGTCCTTCCTCACAATTTATGGACCAAATTATCCCTTCCCCTTTCCCCCTTCACACCGCACACACCACCCCTCTCACCCATCCATCCACCCCACTAGGAACGTCCCGTGCTGTGTGTACTAGTGCCGCTACAGCACCGCGCGGTTGACCCGACCGGCCGCTTGCACGTGCGGGGAGTAGACCAGTGGGGCGCCCGGAGCTCCGACCACTTGCTCCCACAGCGAGGGGGCATCCCTGCAGGCGTAACCCCCAGGGATTTAGTCGGCGTGGTGCGGGAGGCCTTCGAGGTCCTGCTCGGAGAGGCCGCTGCCAAGCAGGGGCTCCTAGGAGAGTCGGCAGCGACCGGCAGCGGCGGCGTTGACAGCGCCGACGGAAGTGTAGGGAGGAAGGGCCGGGACGGGCACGTCATTTCATTGGCAGGGGGTATGGGTGGCGGACAGGTGGTGTACGGCGGTGGAAGCAGCGGGCCGACTGACCCGGCGGCGTTACTGGAGGGGATGCCGGCGGCAAAGTTACTGCAGCTTCTGGAGGATGAGGAGGAGCTGAAGAAGGTAGCTGGCTCCTGGCTCAAGGACACGCCGGTGCGTATGGAGTGTGAGGGCGAAGCTGACTTACACCGAATGCATGGACAACAGGATGGGGCTTATAATTCGGAATGACGTGCGTGGATGTGCATCGATATGTATGTGTGGGTACCTGTTATTAGGGAGCCATTCCTTACGCCCAAGCGCGTAACGGCCACTATATGGGTTACGCAGTGTGGAAATATCCCTGTGTTGGGGTTCTGAAAGAGGGAGGTAGGATCTTACCAGGATAAGGCTGACGGCATAGGATTGGCGATAGCCCAACGGGCTTATCCACTGCTTTGCTCTCTGTCTTTGTCCTATCGCTCCCCGTTTTCTGTCAGGCGGCACGAGCACTCGAGGACGTTCGGCGGCAGAATTGCACCGCTGCCGAGGATAATCTGGCCCTGGCTCGCTCCATTGAGGAGGCGAGAGGACATGTGGCCATCGTGCGGTCGGGCGAGTACGCGGCCATGCGTGCACTCTTTGAAGGGCTCTACAGCAGGCAGGAAGCGGTGGTGGCCAAGATGGGCACGGCCAAGCTCCTGGCTCGGCTGCGGGAAGAGGCAGACAAGGTAGGATGGTGGCTTTTTCAGGAGAGGCAAGGGACCAAGGTACTGGTTTACGTGCGGAATCTGTTGTTGGACGGTCCTTTGTTTCTTCTGTTGGTTGTGTGGTTGTATGGAGGAAGGGGTTGAGGTGCTGGGCTGTCTGTGTGGGATTGGGAGAGGCTGGTGGGGAGAGTCAGGGGCGGGTGGTATATGGCGAATGAAGTGGAATGAAGTGGCAAGGCACTGAGCGAAAGGATGGACTCAGCAATTATTCCCGCTAGAGAATGAAATGATTGAGGCAAATACCAATGGCAGGTTCAACGTGACCGTCGTGCCCTGATGCAGTAAGGAACCAGGTATATCTCATTTCCCACGGCTCGAACCTACCTTGCCCCGTCCTCCTCGTTCTCCTCCCTCAGTCCGATGCGGCTGCCGACGAGCTGCTGGAACGCTTCCAAGAAGGCAGCTTGCCCATAGAGGCATTTGTAGAGCAGTACGTGGCGGCACGGGAGGCCTTTCACATCACCGACCTCAAGCGCCAGGCAGCGGAGCATAGCATGCTACATTGAGGTTCGATTGGGCTGGCGTAAACGTGCTGCAGCAGGTCTATGTGGGGCCCGGTCTTCCTCTTGCTGTCTGGGACCGGAACGGACCAGCGATTGCCTATGACGGACACTGGAACAGTCGGGAAGGCAGGCCCGCTTGTTGGCGGAGGCCGGTGGGCTGCTGTGTGGAGTACGTATGGACTTGTCCCGCTGCGGCGGCGCACTGTGTGCTGGGGCCGCAATCTGAGGAACGTCTTTATCCAGGCCCTGTTGTGGGAATGCAAGCGGCGATCTGCGGGAGTGGAGCTTGACGGTGTAGGAGTTGTAGGAGTATGTCGGGCCTCCAGCTGCGGTGATGTGGGCCTGGAGGCGTCACTTCTGTATTGGGCGGGTACTGCAGCGGTGCCACGCGTTGTGCGGATGCTGGCCAGGGCACCTTAGCATTTGCAACGCTTGCATTGCAGAAAGGTTTGGCCTGAAGACGCAGTAGTTCGCAACAATCAGTCACCTGTGCAAAATGGGGTGTAGCGCCTGCACCCATTTGCTGTGTTTTTGCAGTCGCAACGCGATCATTCCCAGCAGATATTCCTTGCATTTGCTACTCAAAAAACATGTACATCATCACCGTTGCAGGATGAGCAAGATGTTGCATTTGGCGACAGCTGTGCCTCAAGTTGGTAGAGTTGGACAGGGTCCATGAGTCGTTTGGGCTCCATCACAGTTGCAAACTCGTCCTTGTCTCTTTACCCTGGCAGTCGCAACCTAACCGGTACAGCTTGACCGTATGCACTCGTCGTCACTTCTTGAGCATCTAACCAACAACCAGACACAGTTCCCAAACGTTTGTCAAACATTGAACAAAAAGACCAAATTCCCTCAAGCGCATTGCCGGCAAAGGAATTTACAGCTATGTTTCACGGGCACACACACAATAGGAGTCGATTTTAGTCCGATGCGAATTCCTCGGCACATGGTTACGTGGCCTGTATGTATGATGGAATGACTGGCCATGCCACCAAGCCACGCACAGGGCGCAGCATTGCGGGCCATAGCCGGCTTGCCGGGAGTCCACTGCCGATCTTGAGCATTGGCGGTCAGCCAAAATACGTTGGATGCCAATAGCACGCCAATGCGAAAAAATGGACGTCGCACCATACAAGTCGAGGAAAGCAAAGATTCGTCACACGGTTCGAGTTGTCCCCTTGCACGCCCTGGCGCCTCATCGCCGGGTTGACCGAGCTACTGGGATAGGATTAACTTGACCCATGGCGTAATGACCGCCATGAGCCAGGCTGTCCATGCAGCCGCGACCGCGTAAAACTGGCGGAGGTCGCTGCACGTCACCAACCATCCCGCGCCGTGTTCGTCATCTGGCCCGCACCATACTGCACACCGTACAACATCGCATAACTGGACTCCAACTACACGCACGCCCCATCGAGAGACAGAAATCTTCTGCACCGCCAAAGGAAACGTATTCTACGCCGCGTTTCGGGGCCTGTCCAGGCTGTCCATGCCCTAGTCGCGATCAACCTGGACTGTGCATGCAAAGCCTCGCGGCATACCTCGAATATAAAGCGCAAGCCATCATCAATCCCACATCGTTAACCTTTCATCACTTTATTGTGAAGGACACATCATGCTGCATACGATACCGCCCCGCGAACCGATACCTTCTCCTTTGCACATTCGCACATGCCGACAAACGAAAATGCCGCATTACAAGAAAGTGAGCGCACCTGTGCTGCAACTGTCGTCGCATCAGACGGAATTCATGCGAACCTCCAGTCTGCTGCCGCAGCGATCCATGCTCCAACCTCTAGCACATGTTCCAGCAATCCGTATGAAAGCGGACAGCCAATGCAGCATCCAGTTAACCGGCGAACATGCATACCGCTCGACGTGCAACAGATCGCATTGGGCCCATTCCACCCCACAGCGCCTTACAGGCAGACTTGACCTCCTGCAGTTTCTGCCGTGTCTCCTTGCACAACGCTCATTGCGCTTCCCACACCGCAAACTGGTAGCCGCTGCTTGCCATCTTCATATCTTTGCCATTGGTCCGTACGCCCGCGTGGTTGGGGGACCAGTCCCCGGGCCCTATCTTCACGGCCACCTTGTCGTCGATAACGGCAGCGTACACGTCCGCAGCGGACTTCTTCACCACCACCTTAGACCTGTTTGGTGCCGAAAGGTAATGATGCACAATTAACGACATGGAGCGCGTCGATGGTAGGACTCCAGTCCCGCGGGAGGGATGTATATGGAAGCGAAGGTATGAGGAACGAACGTTGAGCGGTTCGATGGCATCGGAGGCAAGAGTCATTGTTACCAGAATGTTAGGCATTCAGCAAATGATATGGAGCAGCATAGCAAGCTGGCAGGCCGGAAAGGTGCCCGAACTCTTAGGATGAGAGCCACCGTGAGGTTTGGAGGAAATTGGTTTCACGGTTCCTCCATCGGGCCCCTTGCCAAGGGCTTTACCACGAAATTCACGCACATGGGCCTTCAGGCGCGCCCCCAATCCCACACCACGCCTTGCGCCACGCACCTGGCATTAACACCGTTCCGCTTCCGGACCCCCAACAACTCCAGAATGCACTTGCGCAGGCCGCCGTCCTCCTGGTGAAAGGATGTCCCGAGGAAAGATGGGATTAAAGTTAACATGGTTTTAGGTGCGGGCGAGTGGGGTCATGGAACCGGCCATGGAACAAACTTGAGGTGGCACAGCAACCTCACTTGACCAAATTTTCAGCTGCACCTCGAAGCAGAAAGGACGCCACCCCATGTACAGCAAAGCGAAGCCGCACATCATACACTAAATCACCCGCATACACACGCGTGCGCGTGCTGGATAAATGCCTGCACACCTGGTAAAAATGGTCGTAGAAAACGCAGGGTGTACCCGGGTGAGTCAGGATGTAGGCATAGCCCTCCGGCAGGTTGCGAGAGGGGAAGGGCCAATGGTTAAGGGTGGAGCCGGTGTCGTGGTTGTCGATAAAAGTGATTGCACGCGAGGGCCACATGCCCATCACACCCGGAGGACGACCTTGACTGTCCACCAGTCGCCAGTACTCTCGTCGACCAACCGCCTCCTGCAGAAGTGGAATACATTTTGGACAGTAGTTTTTTCGTCGATGTGAGGTTTAGCAAGTGTGGATCAGCCACGGGCATTTGGCAAAGCCCGATGGTGCAGCGGTTCGGTGGAGGAGAGTGCCGATACTGGGCCTCGGGCGGAAGAGGTGCTATACAACGCGCGTTGCCAGTCAGACAAGAGGAATGTACTGTACCGGAGGACAAGACTGCAGAGGAGCTGTGGGGTAGAGAAGGATATGAAGAGAACCATATACGGCCAATAGGCAACGCCTCGAGATGGTCAGGTTATGTGGAAGAAAGGAGACAGTGACATTCGCCTGTTATTATAACATATTATTGCGCCGCACTCCACACCTGTAGAATACCCTTTGTGGTGAAGTCGAACGCGGCCGAAGTGCCGCCGGTGGAGTCACACCAGTTGACAGTCCGCTGGCGGTGGGCGTCCTATGGCCGGCGAAAATGAGGATCAGGGCAGCCCATTGCAGGTCAAAGTTAGACAGTGCCATCTATTTTCCTGCATTGGCAGCTCCAACAGCAATGCCAATCCTGCTCATCACGCGCATGAAACACAGCCACCCGCCGTTGACTACATGAACAGGTGTATACAACGGGCAATGCCACTTAACGACATTTCCACAGATGCACAGTTGCGACGCGCAAACCTGGTTATAGTTGAGCACGCCGTCCGTATACTCGCAGCTGTCCCAGTACTCGCCAAACGCCATGGCGGGCACGGTCTCGTCAATGTATGTTTTACAGTACGAGCCCAGGTAGCCACGCACGAAGTCGAAGCGCCAGCCATCAAAGCCAATGGAGTTGCGCAGGTACTTCATCCAGTTGATGATGTCCTGTATTTGGCGGCGTGAAAATATTAGCAAGGGTTACGTGGGATCTAAACGAGCTGAAGGAAAATCGACAAAAATAGGGTAAAAATAAATTCAGTGCTGTGCGCTTCGACCCAGTATCAGCAAGAATGAAAGCTAGCTTCTTAGGGTTAGCTTGTTCCAACGCGCGCCGCATGTCATCACCCGTCCGAGGAGGTGATGCCATATTGCCTGTGAATCCATGCGTACCCAGGTTACGTCTAGCCTTCCTCTTCGTGCTGTACCCCCATCACTACCCTGTAACCCCCACCACTACCCTGGACAAGACAACGAAAACTCGATACGGTTCAGTCCCGTCCGGGACCAGTAATATGACCCCCTATTACTATTTTATATAAAACGTTATTCCTGCTTGGCTCACGGCTCACATTGCGGATCCGCTCCTGCGAGTGGTCAATGTTAGGTGCGGCAGCATAATCGTCGCCTTGCTTAGGGTTACCCCGGCCTCCGAACGCAGGATTGTTGGAGCAAATCGCGGAGGCGTCCCAGGCCAGGCGCCCTCCGAACTTGTTCCACTTCCCGTCGCTGCCTTGGCTGTTGGCACACCTGTGAAGGTAAATTTTCGGGGAAAGGATGGCGATAACAATGGAGCAGGCGATGCCGAGAGCAACGAGGTGCATGACAGTTGACGCACACATCGTGGATTGCAGATCGGCATCCCTGCACTGACGCAGTCAATCTGCTACTCATTCTCTTTTCTCCCCTCATCTTTGAAAGCCAACTTCTGCTCTCCTGGCACTTAATCTCCTCCCGACGCACCGGTGGTTAACGACAATGTCGGCAATAACCTTGATGTTGTGCTGGTGGAACGAGGCAATGAGGTCGCGCAGCTCCCCTTCGCTGCCGTACGCGGAGTCCAGGCTGTAAAGGTCACGGGGCAGGTAACCCTGTGGGCTGACGCTATCCGACGGCGGCGGCATCCAAACGGCGGTGAAGCCTGCGTCCGAAATGTCCTTCACCCGACCCGAGAGTTGCCTGTACAGTCGCTGGCGGTGCGACTCCCAATTGAAGGCCTGACGGGACAAACCATAAGGCGCAAGGCCATCTTACGGACATGCGAAAGGCATCAGGCGGTAGTTGCAGGTTGCGGCAACTGGCACCGCAGTATGCACTGCACTGCAGTTTGCAGTAGAGGAGCCCTTGCCCACCCGTCGCCTCAGGTCCGGTCCATCGCCTCAGGTCCAACGCCTCGACTCGCAAGTCTCCTGCCCACCCTAAACCTCCATTGGCGCATCCTGCGTTCCTGCACGCTCTGCCTCCACTCCATAGTATACCAACAAACCGCCTGCCTACCTGCAGGAGGATCTCGTAACCCGAACCACTGCCTGCACCCGCCGCAGCACGTGTAGGTGCCGGAGGCTTGAGCGTATCCAACAGCTTCTCCGCCTGGCTCTTCTGCTTCTCGGGCACTGCCGCCAGGTTGCGACGGGCGGCCAGCACAGCCTGCGGAGGAAGGCGAGGCGGACGAGGTGTTTACGCGAAGAGGGCCACCGAGCCATATTCAATACGATTCCGGACCTTCGTCGCTCGTATGCGAGTGTTTCGAGTTAAGCCTGCCTACCGATGGCCACCCTATCTACAGTCGATCCCTGACTACCCCCGTTAACCTTCCCACCGATTCGCACCTGCATAGCAGCCATCTTACGCTCCAGCCCCGCCGCCGCCTCCGTCCTCTGTGCCTCCTTGGCCTGCACCAACCGGAGCTCCGCGTTGGAGGCCCTGCGGAATGGAGGATATAACGGCAAAGCAATAGGGCGTAAATAGTGCCTAGGGTCGGGCAGCGTCCTCATGGTCAATGTTAGTACGCAGAGCTCTCATGATGTTCGACACGAAGAGTTCGCGTACACCGCCGCAATGGCTGCTGCGTTTCTCAGCGGCGTTTAAGCACAAGGTGACCATGCCCCGGACGGCGGTATGATACTGTAGCTGGAATTGGGCTTGCCGTCCACAGACAGTGCGGCTGCAACCACAATCAAACTGCTCATGTGTAATTCTACGAAACTGCTCTCAGGCTATGCTGTCGACGATCTGCCAACAACGTTGCTGCTGCTCCAATTGCTGCAGCAGCTTCCATTCGTGCTGCTGAAGACTCCGTCACTCTTTCAAATCGCTCACTTCCGACTTTTAAAAAGCAGTCAGCTGCGTCGCGGCGGTGTTCCATCCCGTACTTACATTTGTGATACCTGGATACCCCTTAGAACATGCCTTCTGGGTTTTCGGAGCCGTCAATCACCGTCAATCACCGTCAATCCGGGGACTTACCGGAGCTCGATAATCTCACGCTCCGTTGCCACGAGCTCCGCCGCAGCTGCTGCCATCTCTGCAGCCGCCAACTCCAAGGAGTCGACCTCGTTCTGGGCGGCCTGCCCCTTGAGCGGCTTCAGTCGCTCCACCTCCGCCGCCGCCACAATGCCGTAAATGGCAGGCATTGAAGACCGGCTGGTCGACGAGGTGACGGACAAGATGTGATCCTTGACCAAGGAAAACTGGTCCTCGGGCACCTGAACGTTGAGGAGACGGCGCTTCGGTTGCGGTTCCATTTTTGAACACCATGCGTGCTGGCTGAACACCTCACTTCCCCGCCCTGCATTGACAGACTTCTATAAAGCATGAAACAACAATTGCGGCTGCAATCCTGGCCTAAGGCTGTAGGCAGGTTGCTAGCCTTAAGGCTTAGGCTGCGGTGAACTTCCTAGGTTACTTCAGCTGGCTGCTAATGCATTGGCTTCGCACTGATCGGGAAACTGGACATTCATCTGGACCGAGATTCCGGCTTTCCGGCGAATTACGTGCATTTCTAAAATTGCTGCCATCGCGCAGTGGGATGAATTGTGGGTGCGGTGAGCATAATGAACAGGACAATTTCGATTTGGGTTCTTGTTATTCGGCTTGAACCATCACGGTACAAGTAGATCTGGTCCCGCGGCATGATGGAAGCATGGCGACTGTATGTTTCTTGGAAAGCCGAGACTGGTACTGGACTGGTAGCCCCGCACGTGCCCGACGGCACATGTAGTGTATATTGCGGCGCGTGCACATGTCACAGCAGACTGGCGGGCAGCCGGGGCTACACATGGAATGGGCGAGTCAGCAGCTTCAGCGCAACCGGCATGGCCGAATCGCAACCGGCTATAGCATCATGATGGCTACACCGTGCGCTCGTGGCTATGTCGCAATCCACGTAAAAACACAAACCGCCTGGTACGGCATCTTCCGTCTCACCTTCTTGCCATCTGCAGTCTGCACGCGGAAAACGTCCAGCACGCGGCCATCGTCGCTGGTGATGGAAGCGGAGATGACGGACAAGCCGCAGCTCGAAAAGCCACCTGTCAGGCTAATCAGCAGGTGGGCCTTGTCCTTGCCCTCCACCGTCACAACCGTGCACTCGCTATCGCTGCTGTTGTCGAACAGGATGTCGAGGCCTTCTCCCGCATCGATGGACGAGATGGGCGATGTAGACATGTCAACGGCCGAAGCCTGTACAGGTCACCGTGGCAATTAATGCTAAAGTCCTGGCAGGGGCATGAGCGGGTGAATAATGAAAGGACAACGCGGCAAAGTGCGGTGCCAACATGTACTTAAGAACGACTCAAGTTGCGTAGTAAACGGAGGTGGGAAGGTCACGGGCTGCCATGCCTAACTATGGTATGGCAGGCGGTTTCGGTTGAAAGCGTGGAGTCGAATTGCGGCACCCACCACGAGCAGCCCACCGCGGCCGCTGGAAAGCCGCTCTTGCCGAACGGCGGCCGCTGGTTGGCAGGGTCGGCTGCCGGCGCAACGCCTCGGGAGGGGACGGACTTGCGCGGGAGGCAAGCAACTTTGCGGCAACTGCTGCGAACGGCCGAGCTGCATGCGCGGAGAGGTCCTTGAGAGTAAAGATCTGTCCATCTTAGCCCAGCGTCCTGGCGCACTTGGTTAGTGCGCTCGTGTGGCGAGGAGGGGCGTCGATGCCTGCGAAGGCATGGGGACCGCTGGACAGGTGATGATAGCCTCGATTCGTCCCTAGATCATAAAAATTTCATAATTCTACGCATCATCCTTGCCCGCTGTCCATACAACGCTGATCTGAACAGCAGCGTGACCTCTGCAAAATTGGTGACATGGCGAAGTCCACCAACAGCCTGTACCCCCATAATCTAGCAAACCTCAACCCGCTTGGAGACAAAGGGACGGCAAGTAAAAAAGAGTCACGTAGAGCACATTTTAAGGAAACGCATCCGGAGCTTCAGCCGCCTTGAATTGCCGATACGTGAGGTCCTTTACCCCACCTGTTCGGGCTAGCCCCCTCGCCTCTCCTTAAAATATACGTGCGTGATGGCAGGCTAGCTGGATTACAGGCTTCCGTGCCGACCAACTGGTGTCGGATCGTAGCTCGCCGCAACAGGTCCTCTTATGCCACACATGCGTTTCCACCTATTCCCTTGGCGCAATATACAGACATTTAAGGGATCCACGTGCCTTACAAAGCCTGCTGGCGGCCAACTTTTTGCATGGAGCGATTGCCGTATTTCCTGTCCGCCCGTTTTCCGTTAGTTACGCTTCAATTCGGCTCACATACGATGTTATTACATTCTTGGGGATCACTCTTGCTGAATTGCTTATCTGGACAGTGCATACCCAATGGCGAGTCCGTTGGATGCTTCGTGAACTAGGGTTGCGAGTCCGACGTTTGGTGCATGTTGAGCAAGGGGGCTTTCATTACCTTTGCAGAAAGATATCACCAAAGAGTTTAAAACATGGTCTTTACACCACGTGACCTCTCTTTGCTGAGTTACCGGCAATTTCCGACACTTGAGCAATGGATGAATGACTTCCGGATTTTTTCTGCAGCTTGAAGCGGCTTGAAGACAATATGACGCGTGTCTAGCATTTCATTAGCGGAAGGCACTGTGTCGGCTCAGCCAAAATGTTCACTGGTGTTTACCGACGACTTGCGGGCTCTGGGACAAACTGTTTGACCAACTTTCGTGGGGTTACATAAAGATCTACCAACAGTGCCCTGAACTCCGCTGATGCGCTTAAGATTCGGCGTTCCTTGTTGCCTCCTATTTCTTGTACTCTGGTTCCTTGCCTCTGATATGCTTCGCTCTTATATGCTGACTTTCCTTTGCAATAGCATGGTGAGAGTTCCCATCGCGGTCGATGCTCTTGAGGCAAGGTTTGACCACGTTTGACCTTGTTAAGCAGCAACCGGACGCGTTTATAACCACACCAACGCGGGTATAGCCACAGACCCAGACAGTCCTAGGTTCCAAGCCGATACCGAAAATCCTGCAAAACAATTTTCGACAGTCGCGATGGGTACAATAGGCAGCACGGCAGTGCATTCGGATGCGTGCAGCGGGAGAGCATTTCCCTCGCTATACCTTACGTCTTAGCCCCCCAACCACCTTTTGACTGTTTCGTCCAAGTCCCAAACCACCAAAAATATATTAACCGAGTTGGTAGCGACGCGCCTCGCCTGGGCCCTAACCCGAAACTCTAAACTCTGCGTTCATGGATCCCGCACGCGCATACAACACACGCCACCTGTTCATCCTGCTGAAGAGCTTCGTCTGCAGAAAAGGGTCACACAATCATGCGTGGAACGGCCAAGTTCCAAAGTAATACCCTCAGGAGTACTGCTTAAGGATGGACCATGACGCCATTTGCAGACCACCCATCTGCCTTGCCAAGCAGCAATCCATAACACCCGGGGCTTTCACTCTCCGGAGTCCAGCCATCCACCAGTAAAGGAGCCCATATGGGGCTGCGTTAATCCAAACTCGCTCTGTTCCAGAATCCTGCGCCTAACAGCTCTACCGATGAATTCCTAAGCTACCTACCGGCGTACCCTACATACGGGCCTGCCACAATCATCCGGCTATAACCACCCATAAGGCCACGGGCCGCCCTTACACCTCGACCTGAAAACTGCCGCATGCATTGAAGAATGCAAGGATGCACAGATGGTACCTTGGAATGGTTTCGGATCCACACTAACAGGATTCATTCATTTGCATGGCCAAAGTGTCTACCGGGTGGGCACTACGCATATTTACACATCACGGCAGTACGCACAGCTCCTTGACAAGCTCCGGCAGGTGTTGCATGCCCTCTTTCGCCTCTTTCTTCTGTCCAGGGAGGAAGGGTTTGGAAGAAGGCCGCCAGGTTAATGAGGAACGGGAGGTGAGGGATACCTGGCATGGCGGGACATACCTGGCATGGCTAAAGGAATGTGAGGAAAGGGCTCGCGAGCTGGTGGCGCATACGTCAGTCAGGATACGTACCCAGCATACTACACAGTGATAGGAAAAGCAATGTGCATACACAGCGACTACAACACAACTGAACACATGTTCCCTAAGTCCCATAAAGTCGCCACGCCTACGCGACGCGCTGCAGTCTATCACGCCACACGGCACACAGCACGACCACATCCAACTGCCCGAGGGCCATGACCCAGCTCCTTCTCACCACCTTTTTCGCAGACAGGAGGGGCTGTAACCCTTCCCAACCCCGTCCGTCCGCGTTCGCGTTTGAGCCTGGGCCGGGTCCGCCTGTTGTTGCCTCGCAACCACCACACCACCATCACAACCACCAACGCCCCACCCGCGAGTACCATAGCCCTAATGCTTCCCATGCCCTGTCTTGCTACTGTCATGACCCCATCTGTTATGAAACGCAAAAGCCACAAAAAATTGCTGCACTGCAGCTCAATCATTCCCACCCAACTGAGCCACTCCTATCACTTGCCCAAAAGAGGCTCACAGATCTCCCTTCCTTACGGATCTAATACGGAGAATCACGACCTCTGCCGGAATAGTGTATAGTGTATAGAGACGAAACTCTTTCGGGCAAACAGGTGGACCCGGCATTGCCTCACCGGTATCATTGGTTGGTTGGCAACTCGCTTGTATACCGGGTAGGTGTCGGAGGACGCTGAGGCGCTTGGGTGTAACTGCGGCGCCGCGAAAACCAAATGGTGGAGTGGATTAGCTTGTTTTCTTGCGCCAAGGACTTCGAGAGCAGGGTAAGGCCTTAGCGCTAGGCAGACTCCGTCGAGACACATGTGCCCGAAAGCCCTTTGGCCATGCACCCATGGGCATCTCGAATATGAGACGCATGAAACAAACCATCGAAATTGTTTTTTCCCAAGCCTACCGCTATAGTTGGCATTTTCCCTCCACTGCCATTCACTCACTTGTACGTGCATGTTGCCGTCCTGCGCCTGAAGGAAGGTGCAGCAAGTAGGGGCCACACCCTGCAAAGCCGGCATGTAGAAGAGCGATTTACAAAAAGTATACAAATGATCCCATCAGCCGGGCAGCCAAGGCGCCAGACGGTGGGTGACCACTTTAGGATGCTGGGCTTGCCATGCGCACGGTCTAAAGATGCAGCTAAAGAAGGGGAAAGGGTCTACTTCGCAACGGGCAAACCTTGAGCCCGGAGCCCTTATCAGGACACCGCAGGGCCGCCACGCATTAAGCATACAAATCAGGCTAAGTCCACCCTGAGTCCCCACACTGCCTGGTCCCACACTGCCTGGTTCGCTTGGCTCCCATAAAACAAACCCCTTCATGCTCCCTCTACCTTCCCCAAGGTCTTCAGCCCCGCACCTCCTGTGCTGCTACTCTGTCCTCCATGGCCTGCAGCTCCTCCGTCGCATCCACCGTGATGGGCACCGTGGAGCCGTCCTGCCGCTTCACAACGATGGAGGCGCCCGGCGCAAAGGGAGTTGCGAAACCACGTGACTCCAGCAGCCCCATCAGACTGCCCACTGGCGTGTCAGCTTCCACCAGTTCCGCGGCTTGCTGGGAGAGCTTGTTTCGGGCGGTCAGGTAGACGCGCTTGGGCTGGGCGAGGCGCTTGGAAAGGTAAAGGACGACCTGGGGGATGAGAAGGGGCAGAGGCGGGTGGGTTGGGGCCTTGGAGGCGGGAGGTTGGAGGCGGGAGGTCGGAATGAGACGTGAACAGCGCCGTGGGCTCGGACGAGGCCCAGATGTGAACGGCCGGGTGAAGCGGGCTGGGGTGGCTTTCTGCCGGTGATGAACTGTATATCTGGGGTCCGGGTATAGGTGGGCCTCGTAGCCACTTGTGATTATGCCGGTGGCCTGGGAGCACACCAACTAAGACTGGTTCAGTAAGCTGCGATGGACGCGGATACTCGCATGGACAAGGGAGACGTGTATGGGCAATCCATGCTGGCTTAGTTGAGCACCAGGAGATCCTCCTTAAACCTTCCACAGGGTTTTGGTAGGCCAAGCCATCAGGGTTGGCTGGGTGCAGTTATCCTGGCCAACCGGGCGCAGATTGCTCCCTGCCCTCCTCTGCTCCCGCCCCGCGCACCTCGTCGGAGAGCGTGTATGCTTCGAGGTTGTGGTCTGCTAAGCTCAAGTGATCTTTAAGGTTATTACCCGCAAAACATAGCACCTGCTGCTTGACAGGTATACCTGCGAGACGTCGGTAAGCAGCGTCAAGGATGCGCTCGTCCCACCAAGGCCGCCGCGCCTATCCTCATACCCTCAGCTTCTTGAAGTGCTTGCTTAAGTTCTAGCACTGTCGCCTGGGCGTCAATCTGGAAGAGGCGGCTCTCCCCGGATGGGCAATTTACAAGGACACGCATTTCCTGTTAGGTTAAATGCCACAGAAGGAATTAAGAGTAGATGTTTTTCATTAAAATGTTATGTGACATGAAGGTTTCTTGGGTTCTCGGCAGTTGATGCTCGTTATTGCTGTAGACTAAGTTCCAGCGGCAGGGCGCGTAACCCATAGTGGAACCTTGTATCTTTTACAGATTACGACCCATTACGTATATGAAGAAGGTGGACATCTTGGCACATTAATCTTACAGTCGTCGCACTGGAAAGGAATGACCAGTTCCACAACCTAGCTTGTCACAGACAATCAAAACATGGACGAATTACAGTCCCAGTCGGAAAGGTAATTTCATTACTTGCACATAGTCCCCGCAGTGGTAGCGGCCTCGACTTATACTCTACCGATGCTCGTAGGGAGGCGCGCATCCTCGCCCGTCGGAAGCGCATACAGGAGCGCTTGGCAGCACTTCGGGAGGGAGATCATGGAGGTAAGACGGCAGTCCCCACGGGTCCACGGACGAGCGATGCCCCAACTGGGTCTCCGAACCATCCGGGCTTGCAGGCGGCAAGGAGGGCGAGAAGAAGGAGGAGATCGGAAAGGGCAAGCAGCAGATCATCGAGAGCAAGCGCCGGTTAATGCGCGTCAAGTACCGCACGGACCAAGATGTCACGTCGGTCCGGGTGGCTGGCGACGACCGCGAGAACCAGCACCGCATCCAGGAGGAGCAGACTCGCCAGGTGCAGGGGATTCCTTAGACTTTCATGAACGCGTCTCTACAATCAAACCCGTGTTGCGAATACCAGGGGAATGCCCGGGGACAGTGCGTTTTCGCAACACGGAACTGGCAGGGGACGGCTTATGCTAGCCAGCGTGCAGTCACCCACAGCGATATTCGGCTAGGACGCTCCCCACGCCTGCACCCACTTGTACACACGCCTTATAGCGTAGCCCGCTGGCTTAGCTCCCACACCAGCTCCTCAGAAGCGTCCATCCTGCCTGCAAAGGTGTATGCGCTAACTACACGCCTTCATGTCCTGTCCGGCCGGGGCTGTAAACTCGGCTCCTCGGTGCTTCAATCGGGGTAACACCCGCGGGCCCATCTTCCTGCCCTCCCTTTTCCCTGTACCTCGCCCACGAGGACGTCTTGAAAAACGACGGGCCGGTTACCCGGTTCCTTATCTCCTCCACAGCCTCACTGTAGCAAGGGAGCTTTGGCTATCGGTAGTAGCTCGACCTCGTATCTAGCAGGACTCCTTTGCTCGTTACCCCTCGCAGGAGCTTCGCGCCAAGCTGCTCGCTGAGGCGGAGATGAGCGCCCGGCAGAATGCGGCGGTGGCCATGCGCTGGGCGGACCTGTTCTCCATTGAGGTGCCGCAGGTGCGGAACCAACGGGACGTGGCAGAGGGTGGGAAATGGTAGGATTCTGCCTTTTGATTGTGTAAGAAACAAAGAGTTAAACTGCTGACGTGGGAAGCCGCAAACTTCAGCAGGGAAAATGGGTGGAAGCCCGCGCCAAGACAAGGGCGTGGTAGCGCGGGGGTTGAGTGGTCATGCGGCCTGTTGCAAGAAGGGCTTGGGGCGGCTACGGCAGTCCTGCGTCATCGCCTATGTCCCAGCAAGTTAAGAGGAAAGATAATAGAAGCTCTGGTCCGCCCGCCCACCAATTAACCCTGTAGTAGACTGCAATACGGTGACTATCCTCAGTGGAGCGGCTTTACGAAAGGCCTCTGGATTCGGAAGGGTCTTTCTAGGCGGGTTTGATTTCAGCAGAAGGATGGTTGAGGCAGAAGGTGATGGGTCGTAAGCGGACCGGAGATGCGGACCGCCAGCGCACTTTACAGCAGGTCCACTACACTCCATTCCACGCCTGCGTTGCTGATGGGGCGGCAGGAAATGGGACACGCATCCAGGTTCCTCGTGTTGGGGTGTGGCGTGGCTGTTCGTGGCAAATGTCGGCCGAGGGGAAAAGAGATGGTACCGGGATGAGCACCTGACACTGACCTTCCTCGACCCGGCCTCGTATGTCTTCTTTTTTTTCCGTTCAGGACTTGTATGGGGAAATTGAGGCGCAGCGGCAGGCATGTGAGCGCATCATCGCATCCAAGGACACGCTTATCGGGGAGGTGCGGACAGAGCTGAAGAAGAAGGATGACGAGTTCGTGAAGACGCTCAAGCGCCAGGTGGGGACTTTTTAGGAGGTGTCACCCAAGCACAAGCGTCGTGGTTTGAACATATTTGGAGTCTCGGGATTTGAGATTGGGAAGTGTGAAGTTAGCATCGCCTTGTCATTGATGACGACCAATTATGGCTTTACCCTGCTCCTATCCATTTACCTCCTTTTTACCCCGCTGTCCTATTTTCCCTCCCCCTCCACTCTCACCCTCCTCCACCAACCCTGCCGGGCTACCCGCGATTTAGCCCAGAGTTCTAAGGGTCGGTTTCCTTTCCGTAACATCCTCCTCCCCTTCGCATCCTCCTTGTTTTGTCGGTTGGCATTTTCAGGCGGAAGACATCGACACGTTGCTGCAGTACATGAGTCGCCAGTTTGTGGAGATGCAGAACGCATTCAAGGAGGAGCTGGACGAAATCGAAAACGCCTTTCTGCAGGAGCGCTCCGACTTGTTGGAGTCCAACCGTCGTGAGATGCAGGAGCTGTTTGACCGCCGCTCCCGCCTGGAGCAGGACTTCATGGACCGCTACCTGGCCGCTGTGGAGAACTACCAGCAGCAGCTGGAGGGCCACCGGCAGATGGACGCGGAGGAGTACCACATACTCAAAATAAAGTGAGAAGCGTGAGGAGGAAGAAGAGGAGGAGGAAGAGGAGGAGGAAGAGGAGGAGGAAGAGGGGGAGGAAAAGGAGGAGGAAGCGGAGGAGGAGGAGGAGGAGGAGGAAGAGGGGGGGAAGAGGAGGAGGAAGAGGATGGGAGCTGTGAAAGGAACCTGTGAAGGGATGCGGAGAAATAAGAGTTAAGAAGGTATATATTACACGTAGCATCCTATTAGGTGTGTGAAGGTCCCGTTCTGGATCCTTCTGTCCCTTGTAAACCACTTGGATTCCCCTAACCTCAATCCGCTCCTCCTCCACTTTACCAAACCCACCCTCCCCTCCCTTCAGCTTCACTCGCTCGTGGTTCGTCTTTCACACCCTCCCCTCCTGTGCAATCCCTCCCACCAGGTTGGAGACGGACATCCAGAACCTTGAGCAGCACCTGGAGGCCATGAGAGCTACCTACCAACTGAACACTGAGAAGCTAGAATACAACTACAGAGTGCTCAAGGTGCGTTGAGAATGGGGGTCACGTGCAGCACCACACAGGTTCCCCCCACCCGCAGGGCCACCCGACAGGCTACACACACTCCGCTGCGTTGGTCGGACCTTTGCCCCCTGTGCCTGCTATCTGCTTCATTCGCCAGCGGTTCGCCTTACCCCCTGTGCCCCTTAACTCCCACGCGGGCAAAACAGGGTATCCCGGAGCCACCACGGCCTACCTGCCTGTCCGCCTTCCGTCCTCTAGGTTGCACCCAAAGTCCCAAAAGTCGACACCTAACCCCGCTGATAACCACCGACTCGCCGATCGTCACTCGTCACCCTCCATTTCTTCGTCACGTATGTGTGCGCGCGTGCACAGGAGCGCGAGAAGGAGAACAGCACCACCATTGAGAGCCAGAAGAAGAAGCTCTCCAGGCAGCGGGACATCCTGTCCTCCCTCAAGCAGCGTTACGCGGAGACGGACCGGCGGTACCGCGACGAGAACATGCGGCTGACGGACGAATACAAGCGCATCACGGAGCAGTTCAAGGACCTGCAGAGCAAGTTCAGGCACTTTGAGCTGGTGGACACTAAGAAGTACAAGGAGGTGAGGGATGTGGGAGGGGGGGAGTGGTAAGGCAAAAGGCGAAATCATGGAAAGGACGGCTTGGAATGATAGGTGTAGTGGAGGGAAGGTGTGGTGGTGGTGGTGGTGGAGGGTTTGTGAAGGTGGGCGTTCAGGTACGGAGCTAGTGGATGATGCCTGCCTGTCTGCCTTCCTGCTTGTTTTCCTGTCTGTCTGTCTGATCTGCTTACGTACTTGCAATGCATAGCCAGCAGCTGGCTGTGCACAGCTATACATATTTATATGGTGTGTGTGTGTGTGCATAATTGCTCGTGTGATATCCTTTAGCGTTGGGTTTTGCGACTCCCGGACGACCTCCCCGGAACGGTCACCTTTCGCGGCCTCCAACCTTCGCAGGTCTGGGGCATGAAAGAGAGCGAGGTGGCGGCGTTGGTACGGCAGCTGCTGCAGGTGCGCGACCCCTTCCCCCTCCTGCACCTCTCCTGAACCCCCGCCAATCCGAACAGCAACCACCGGCGTCCGTCTGCTGGTGTTTAGTTGGAGCTTTGCTGCTGCTCCTGCTGCTGCGCGTGCTCCTGCTCCTGCTCATTTAGCTGTTGTTGCACTGCGAGTTGATTTTTCCCCGAATTGTGAGGCAGACCACAATGTTGCGCTTGGCCGAAAGGACGAAAGGATAGGCCTTTGCCTGCCAACCTTGTTAATTTCAGGGTATCCTTCAGCTTTCCCACCCTCCTGCCTCTTCTCCCACGTACCCACACCCCCATTCCCTCTTCCAGGCGGACAAGGTCCTTCACGAGCAGCAGCTGGGCTGGGAGTGGCGGCCCCCGGATGACGAGGTGTTCACGCCGGTGCACTCCTCCGGACCGGGGGGAGGCACGGGAAGCGGGGGAGCGGGAGGGGACGGCGGTGAAGAGGAGCAGGACGAGGACGCGGCGGCAAGGGCACGGGAGCAGGAAGTGAGTGCGCGGGGGTGGGCCCTGCCAGGCCGAGGTGATGGCACTCGGGACTTCACACTGGGCGCAACACTACACTACACTACATAACGCAAAATGCCCTGCCTTGGCAGTTGACATGCGCCAAGTTACCTACGTACCTACGTACCCATCCGCCCATGTACACACACACACACACACACACACACGCGCGCACGCACCGTTCACTTGACTGTCTACCCGTCTGTTTACCTGTAGGTGGCTGAGCGGCTGCGTGAACCACGCAACTGGGGTGCTCTAGGTCTGCTGTGTGACGAGGCGGGCTTCCTGCTGGACGCCAAGGCGCGACACATGATTGAGCGGCTGCCAAAGGTAGGTAGAAAGACGGACCTGTGTGTTGGGGGCCATCCCTTTCCAAAGGGACCTGTGGCTGGAGTTGACAAGTACCCGGTAACCAGGGTGCGTTCCTGGCGCACCGTTTGATAGCGCCAAGTCGCGTCATCTCATGCCTGTGTCCTTATGTCGCTGTACGTATGTACACAACAGGACGAGCAGGGTCTTGTGAAGGCGGAGGCTATCCTTCGCGCGCTGGGCATCGCAGACGGCTCTTCCTTTGATCAGCTCATGGACGCCCTGTCTGCGGACTCCACAGTGGAGATGAGGGCCAAGGGGATGGGCGTGCCGGCGGCCCGCATCGCTGGTGAGTGGCTAGGGGGCCGGGAGACTCAGGGGGGTGCTGGTGCTGGTGCTGGTCCTGGTGCTGGAGAAGCAGGGCGGCGTGGGGCGAGACGAGGGGGGTTGGCTGGCTGACTGAAGCGATGGCGCGTCTGGGTCTGAAGCGATGGATCTCGGCGCGTGCCATGCTTTGATGGATAGGGGGTGACTTTGCGATTCGTTGTTAGCGGTTAGGTAGGATCGGGCTGTAGTAGCTGGCCGCTGAAAAGGCCTCTCGAGATGCTGGTGGTCGCGCTACGCGCGTATTTGTAGAGCCGTACTGTGTACCAGCTACTACACGGGCTTTGGCATATCCTTGGTTGGCTGCTTCGCCTTTTGCAACTGTGTCGCGATACTGTAATGCGGCCAGCACATCTCGAGGGAGTATATGATGAGTTTTCCCTTTAAAAGCTGTGTCTTAACAACTAAAGCAACTCTGGACAGCGGTCACATCCCAAGCTACACCCCTTCCATATGTGAACTGAATTCGCCCAACATCACCTACGTGCACATGCGCAGATGAGAAGGGTGAGCGCGGACCTGCTGTCCTTGTCCATCCCGATGACGCCGTACGGCGGCTCAAGGCCTTTGTGGAGGTGTACGGCACAGGGCCCAGCCGCGCCGGCGGCGGCGCCATCAGCGGCCCGCTGCGCGTGCAGGGCCTGCTGCGTCGCGCCGCGGAACGCGAGCAGGAGTTTTGGGCGCGCATGACGCACGTCATCAGCGACAAGGGCGTGCGTGTGTGGCGTGCGTTGGAGAAGCAGCTGGAAAAGTACTTGGCGCTGCTGCAGGAGCGGTCCGCCAGCCTGCGCGAGGTTGAGAGCCTGCAGCACCAGAACAACGAGCTACGGGCGCTGCTGAACCAGTACTTGTCCTCGCGTATCAATGAGGAGCTGCAGATTCCACCTACCCAGGTCATCTAAGAGGAAGAGGGGAAGAGGATTGCGCAAAAGGCTGCGGAGGATGGGACTGGGCGCAGTGATAGGCAGCGGCAGGTGTTAGGCTGGCTGGCGTGGAGAGGGGATGAGGGAGAAAGATCGAGCGGACGATGGCACCGAAGAAGCCGAGCTCGTGGGTGCCGATCCTGGTTTCCCGCTCTGCCTCAAGGGACTCATTGGGCGGTTGGTGGGGACTAGCGGCTAAGTGGTTGCGGCGATTTGGGCGAGGGAAAGGAGGAAGGGGACGTGCGTAAAGGAGTGGGGTGAAGTCCGAGTAAGGGGCCAGGAGTGCAAGGGTGTGAAAAAGGAGGTGTGATCCGGACGCTGCGTATGTATTTGAGGGGAGGCGAGCGGGCACACGTCCCCGTTCGGTTGTGCGCTGTATGGCTGCATGTGGGCCAACCCATCCTCCCCTTTCCTTCCGAAACGTCAACGGAACTTTAACGGAACTCAATACCTGGCGCGCGATTGCATGTGCATGTGGAAAAAGGCAGTCGTGCCTGTGGCGTGATATATGTATATGTGGGTCACGAATTATGTTGGCTTGTGCCTTATGTTGTTGTTGTTACATGGTCGTGGGTGCGTTCCCCGTACCTGCAAACCACCCTAATACGAGCCGAGGGCTCAAGGGCTGCCAGATCGCCTATAAGCACCATCCTAGCTCGCACTTCCAACGAAACAAGTGGTGAAGGATACCAACGACCAAAGGGAACGATTTGCGGTGTTGCGGTGGGACCATATGCGTTCCAGCATCCTTGCCAGGCGTTCAGGTTCCCACTTCATAGCGTCCTTCATATGCTCGAAGCGTGGGAAACCCATATCAGATCTGATTTTGTCGTACACCGGACAGTCCAGCAAAATGTGCTTCTCATCCTCGATATGGCTATCAGTGCCGCGGCAAGGGCATACTCGCTCCTCCCTAGGTATATAACGCCGTCCCTTACGCGCTCTGTTAGCCGCCAATGCCCAACAGCAAAGCCTAAACTGCATAAGCTTGCGGTTCGCTGAACGCGGGATAAACATTGTGATATGCGGGAGCACCTCCTTCCTGCCCGCTTGCTCGGCCGCCAGACCCATCCAATGCTTAAACTTCGCCATGTGGATTCCCGGTTGCTTGCCGTCTGACGGGTACACGTCAGGCTGGACATCTAAACGCGTATTCTTCCAACCACTCACTAATCGGTCCTTGGACTCCAAAACCACACCTTCTGGCATTGGGCTGTCCATCAGCCACTCCACTCGTTCGTCTACCTCGTGTAGCCCTTGCGGGGCCTCTTTCCATACGTCGTGCCCCAAAAAACATAGAAAACGGAGGAGTAGTGTCCCCCATCCGGCCCCTTCGGGCTTGTGCCTTATAACACACTCACTTGTCGTGGGTGCAGCTCGCTTCACTAGTGTCTATTGTTAAGCTGTCGTAATGCGGTACCGCGTCCCGACGGTGGTTAGCAAGCTGAATGCGCGCCTGTGAGAGAGACACAGACTGGAACCGAGCCGCGAAATAGGCAAAGGCTTAACGCTAGGATTTGCCGTTCGAGCATAGCTGATGCCCCAGGGGCGTGGGAACTATAACAGCTGAAATGTCGACTCTTAAAACAGCTGCAGACGGACGCCTCGGACCCTGATGTACCTTAGAATCGCCGAACCCTTGCCAAACATACCGTACTGCCACGATATTTTGGTGACACGCAATTGGTATGGCGTCACCAAATGCGTGTCAGAGGAAAAAGCTCTAATGGCAGATTTGTTTGCCCATCGCCAAAATAAATGTCACCAATATGCCGTACGCCAGCTCTGCGGTGCCTAACCTGTTTCGTTTGGTTGACAGATTGACTTACTTGCGCTTCATCTACGTGCTGTATTTTTCCTGCGGTTTTCTCTCAGAGCAACGAACGAATGAACACAGTAACAATGCACTGCATCACGGCTTTACCCACCGCATCGAACATCAAGAGCTCCCTGCTCACGAGTCACGGGCCTGCATTCTGGGCTTTCCCTTCACACCCCGCACCAAGGGCTTTCCGCGCTAAGGGCTTCCCCTTCACGCCCCGTTCAAATTGCTTTCCCTTCACCCCCCCTTCACTCGCACCAAGGGGCCTTCCCCCTTCCCGCCCTTGCACCAAGGGGCCACTAGTTTCCGAGTGTATCCGATGCACATTCACTTTGTAGCAACGAACCTCGTTACCATGGAGGCGACTGCGGAGTTACATGTTACCACTTTTCACCTCACGCATCTCGACGTGCGTTCAGTCTCCATAGCATATCTTCGCCACACCGCGCCGTTCTGTCCTCACTCCCAATTGCAAGGCCACTCTTACCCTGGCTGCGTTTCAATCAGCCGTCTTCTCTACGCCTCCTTCAAATTATCCTAAAAAGCCAACCTTAAACCTTATCCCTCAATCATTCACCTCACACATGCATACATACATATCTACTGTATATTTCGACACCTCACTCACTCACAGATACATACGTTTCAAAATCCATAGACGCATATTAGGAGGCCCTTGAAGTGGCTGTATCGATTGGCACATCGGCACATTGCCAACCATATATACACAAAACACAGAGACACACATACGGCCGCATGGCTCCTTTGCAGTTCACACCACATCCTGCTCCCTTATCACGACCTGCTCCCTTGACCGACCAGACACAACATACTGGCGTGTGAAGAACACGGCCTGTTGATAGGTTTTGGGCAGCTGCACCGCCACCTGCAACTTCCTGCCATTAGCGCCATTTCCCCACTGAGCCCTGTACCATGTGTGCACGCCACTCGCCACACCTCTTCGAGAGGCCTTAAGACATGAAAGCACCTGTGCGCACCCCACCAGCACATGGCCTCTTCACGGCGTAGTATACAAAAACCCATCATACCTGACCTCAGCTCAGCTCACCTCGTAAAAAACGACTCTCCATCCCCACATGCCGCAGTGGCTTTTCACCCCCCACAGTCGCCACAAAAGCGTCTCCAAACACAAACGTACATACATACATACAAGCTAACGCACATACATTCTTACATACATACAAACTCGCATACATACATATATATACCCACACCTTGCGTGTCACCAAGATACGTAATCTCTAGACAGCCATTGAGTCCATTACGATGTTTTGATATTCCTGTCTCCCATATTTACGAATGACATCTTAGAGCTGCTGGGCCACACATCAACGTATGGGTGTTGCCAGCGCAACTGTGCCGTACCGTCTGTAAATGGAACGAAACCGAGGGGCTGCCAGTGCGGACTTCCAAATCAGCAAGGAAGACTGGAGTCTAGGCAGCTTCTCAACATGGGCTGCAAAACAGTTTGGCGACAACGATGCTGACAAAGCTGCTTAGGAGGCTGCTCGTTGTCGTTGTCGTCCGCCAAAGCAGCAGCAGCAGCAGTAGCAGCAGCAATTTTGTGTCCCTTGGCTATGGTGGAGACAGCTAACCCCCAGCCGCGTTGGCCTTGGCCTCTTGTATCCTTTGTGTTATCCTGTCAAATCAAAAAACGGACCGCAAGCAGTCTACAAGCTTTCCTGAATGCACGTCACGACATGCATGACCTTGACTTCACAGTCGACGACCTCGAAGCCTTGAATCGAACGCAAGGCCAGGCGACTGTCGTACGGAAGTCCTGTGCAGCTGTGCAGGGTCTCCGGTCGATTAGCTCAGTCGCGCCCAAGGTCAACAACACACATGCGCCACTTCAAAACTCAGGACCACCACCACTGACTATTTCCATGCATGCATGCATGCACCCACCACGCCTCGCGGCGTCTCACCCTTCTAAGACCCACCGGCGAGTGTTCCGCAGCTTTACACACCACACAGACAATGATCGCATACCCGATAGCCTGCCGTCCCTAGCCCTTCTCCAACCCACACTATTTCCCATCTCTACACGCCCTCCCTTCCTCTCTCGCTCGCTTGCTTGCTCGACGTGTCGCGTACGAAGTTCAAAGAGCCTCCCTGGTTCATACAGAAATATTACAACATGGCGTTTGCTGTCCTGCGCTTGTTCCGGGGCTGATCGTCGCTGCGTTGCTTCCTGAGGTCCATGAACTCATCTCCCGCATTGGCAAACAGTCTTCTCAGGTTGTAGACGGTGAGCTGGTCCAGGGAGGCCACCGTCACGTCGGCGGTGCGGAGCTTGTACGCGGGGTAATCGGGGGATATTGCCACAGCCACGGCCTGCGGAGCAACAGGGGTTGGGAAGGTGGGAGATCGCAAGACACAAACATCAACAAGAGGAACAGCTACTGACGCCCAAAACGTCAACTGCCAGGGTCTAAAGCCACGATGCCATTTTCTGCATTATGTGAGGCGAGGGGGGAAGAGAGACGGAAACAATGAGCATGCGGTACCAATCGGCTGGCTAGGGCGCAAGGGCGCAACACCTCAGGCTATCTTCCCGGACCGCGGGGTTTTGGAAGCGCAACGTGTGTACTTCCTAACCCCCCCTGCCCCCTGCCCATTATATCCTCACCATTCTCTCTCCCACCCCTCCTCTTCCTCACCCTGCACCTCCCCTCCCCTCCCTCCCTCCCTCCCCCTTCACTCCGCACCTCCCCTTCCCCTCTCCCTTCACTCCGCACCTCCCCTCCCTCCCTCCCTCCCTCCCCCTTCACTTCCGGAAGCACGGGTCGATGACATCACACCGCTAAGGACTTGCTGGGGGCAGTTTCGAACTTTTTCGACACACGGACAGCAGTTCACTTCTCTCGCTTCCTCCCATATGATCCCCCCTTTCCCCTTCCCCCCCCATTTCACCCAAACCCCAGTACCCCCCAGTAAACCCCCAGTACCCAGTACTCGGTACCCCCCAGTGTCCTCACCTTCATGGTGCAGTTGTGTGCCGCCGTCACTGCCTCTGGAGTGGCGCCAAACACCGCGCACATGTTGGGAGGTCGCTGCATCTGCAGAGCGGCTGACAGGTACCGCTGAGCAGTGGACTCCAACTCGTCCTCCGCTGTCACCTGGGGGGACAGCCACACCACAAAAACGCAAAAGAGAGGGAAGGAAACAGCGGTGTAAGGGAAGGAATAAGATAAACTGCTGCAGCATAAGCCCCAAATGAGTCGCGGAATCATGCCGCAGGTGGGGTGCAGGCCCGGGGTAGAGGGGCGCCGGGGAATGCGGAAACGATTTGTAGACATGTAGACCCTGAGCTGAATCTGACATACAGTTACTACTCAGCAAAAGTGTACTGAATACGAACAGAAAATAACAGAATGATAACAACAATGTCATTTATAATATTATACACTATACATTACATATACTCTATACCCAGAGCACGTGATTCGGTGAGAGTATACACGGCCGTAGGGGCTGATACCGACCCCTTCCCGCAGTGGCGTCGGGTATCGGCCCTCCTCACACACTCCGACCTCTCCCCATACGCAGCCGCCCGACACCGTGCCGCCATTCTCTTACCTTACGCAATACGGTTCTGAAGCCAAAACAATTCCCGAGGCAGGCACATTTAAGCTGCATTTTCGCCTTTTCACCCTTCTCCCTGCCTTCCGTAACCGTCACCGAATGACCCCCTCGACTTTTGCAATCTCGTTCAGATTATATTCCTCGTCTCCCCTTTGCCCCTGCCAGAATGCCACTGCCAGAATGCCCCTGCCAGAATGCCACTGCCAGAATGCCCCTGCCAGAATTCAAATCTCAAACCCCAGTTATACTCACCAGCACCTGGAAATGATCGTGTAAGTGCATTCGTTCCAAAGCTCGTCGTACAGTCGCCTTGTCCAGCACCGAAACCAGCGCTACAGGCACATTAAAGCTGGTGAGTGCATTAAGCCAGTCCCGTACGCCTGGCTGCGGCTCCCCGGCCTGGTGCGGCTGCAGCTGCGGCTGCTGGGATTGGGAGGGCTGCTGCTGCCGCTGCTGACCCGCCTCCAACCCGTCTCCTCGTTCTCCGCTGCCGCCACCGCCGCCGCCACCGCCGCTACCAAGCCCTTGTAGCTCCGCCGCGTACGTCTCAGCCAACTGGTACGCCAGTGCCCGGGCCTCGCGCATGCTGCTCGTCCAACCTAGGACCTGAAGTGATGTTGAATAAAAAAATGGAATCCAAGCAAAACAATACGGCAGGGAGGACAGGAGGTTTATCGGCCAAAGTGTGGGGATTTGAAGGCGGCTGTTGGCGAAATTTGAAACTCCCATGATGAACGTAGCGGCAGTGGTATGGATGGACATTAGGACCGTGAATGTGGAAATAAATGAAATATCGAAAAGGGTTTAAATTTTTGCTATCCCGGTGTCTGTCTATTCAATTACCTACCTATATGGACGCCGTACGACACCGTACGCCCCACCCAAATATAATAGTATTTTCTGTAGGCTTCTTACAGGGCCCCACTCACGTCCATAATGATTCTCTCTGGTGCTGTGTTGTGCATGCTCAGTCGAGCTAGAGGGTGCAGCGGCAAGCCGCGCTCAGCCGCCACCCGACGCCACGCACGGCGATATGCTCCCGCCGTGTCCGCAATAACCGTGTCAAAGTCAAACACCGTGCCGTATGCTTCGTCAGGTCGCAACTGAAACCGCATCCGGAGGGCGCCCCCCGCCTTCAGCTGTTCGTTGAGAGCGGCCACATCAAGGCGCCTGGGCTCGCCTCCGTGCCGAAACTGTAGGAAACCCTGCGATGGTTGGTAGTTAGGCGGTTAGACAGTTGGCAGTTTATATGGATAGTGGATGGGAAGGTAGATGTACGGATGTTTTGGAGCAAGACGCCGTGGCGAGAGGGGCCGGAAGGTGTGCAAGCCGTGAGGACGGAAGAACCGACGTGGGAGACTTAGCGCGGTGAAGCGTGCGCTGCTATTAGAAGCACGCGTTTGGAGGTTGAGGTAATGGCAGGCGGTGGTACTCGTGACAACAAAAGCATATGTTGGGTAGGTGAACTGGGTCGGGTTCGGGGTTGCGATGCAACTAAAGAAAATCAATTGCAGGCATGGATGTCACGTGCGGATGGGTATACCCCGACAGAAAGTCCGCTACTCGTCCTGCACCTTGGGACATAGCATGTCGCGCAGTTGGACGGATAGTAATGCTGGTGCTGGTGCTGTAGATCCGGCGTTTGGAGGGACATGCAGCAAAGTGCGACTTGCGAAGCGCGCAGGCCATGGACAAGGTCGCCAACGCAACCAATGCCAAACCGGCCAAGATAGCGTGAGGGGAGCAAGCAAGGAATACTGGGTATTGAAGACAGAGGCCTGCGTCAAGCGCACCTCGCCGTACTCCGCGCCAATGCGCTGCGGAGCCACGATGTGCGCGTAAGCCCGCCGTGCCGCTGGCGAATATGATGTTGAGGGCTGCTCCTCAGCTTCCTGCTCCTCTGGAAAGCTTGCGTGCCCGTGAGCGCGTACAACCAGCCGCGGCGCTACTCTACGACCGAACCGACGAGAACCGCTCAAACCTACGCCGCGCGATCCGCATGAATAGGATAGCTGTTGCTGCATCTTCGAGCTTCCTCAAATGATTCGTTACTTTCTAACACAGGCGGGCTCCTGCTGCGTTGTTTTGCAAACAAAATTACTGTGCAAGTGCAGCCCTAGTTCGCAGTATCAGCCACAGTTAACAACGCAGATAGATATGAAAACCTTTGCGACAAGTAAGCTAAGTTAGAGCTTTCACGATGGGAGAAGCCGAGCTTACACCGGGTGGTGTTTCGCAACGCCAGCGCGGACGAGTACGGCACAGCCAGGACCGGCAAAAATCTTGTGTAAGTCAAACGCTCCAAGCAAGCATGAACAGCTTTGCAGATATTCTGTATATTACCTCGTTATCATTTTGTCCTGTTTGCCCCCAACAAGTTTGGTGAAAATGAGTGTCAAGTGTTGAATACCAGTAGTACAGGCCCATGGAAAAGGATGCTTACACCTGAGCCGAAACTTTAACCCACCTCAATCTTATCAAAAAAAACGTATGCAATCATGCAAAACGCGCGGCGCCTTGCATTTCGCGTCACGGGTCTGCGTGTCCACCCCCCGCTGGACTTGGCAGGACCTGCGTGCGCTGTCACAGCCACGTACCCCACCGACACGCCCATCCCGTGCGCAGCCAGCCTATCCTCAGCTGCCAACGATAACCTCACGACATCGGTCCCCAGCTCGCGCGCAACCTTCTCAACCACCTGCTCCGCACAGGCAGATAGCACGACACCACACAGTGCCATCACCAGCAGCAGAAGCGACAATAACAACAACAGCAGCAGTAGCCGCGACAGTAGCAATCGCATTCCCAATCCCGTATTGCATCGTTACTCGGAGCTGGTGGAGGCTGGCAGTCTAAAACGCGATGACCAGCAAGTGAGCCAACCGCGGGCCGACAGAACCGCTCCTAAGGACGGGAGGAGGTGTTCGGGGGGAAAGACGAACCACACACGATTGAAGCTGCTGCCAGGGCAAGAGAGTGTTCGGGGGGGTACCCCCAAACTGAAGCCATTGCTGCAGCTTAGGACCAAGCGGCGGGTGGCCTGGGACCCCGGCTTGGGGGGAAAGGGGCAGCTGCGGGTTGGGTGCATCGTGAGGCCCAAGTCTCGTGAGAAGTTTCCAGATTATGAAGTTCCCCTAAGTTCCAAACCCACAAGGCCCCCCCATGCGGCCCTTCCGGATCCGCATGCAGCTCGCGCTGGTCCGGGAGCTCGCACGGCTGTACGACGAGATCTGTGCTTACAAGGCACAGATGGACTCGTACCATCAGGCCACAGCAGAGCACCAAGTGGGTTTCTTTCGCGTGTATGTATGTATGTACCGGTACGTGTGTCGGCGTTGCCCAGCATCGGTAGTTGCGTTACCCTCCAAAGGGCCCTCCAGGTAATGAGGCCCTTTAACGACTATGCTCATATACATGTGGGAAAGACGTGTGCGTGTGTGTGCGTGTGTGTGTGTATGGGGCCCCCCTTGATGGCGGCTATGTGGTTCTAGTCACATTGGACACGCAGAGTCCGGGGCCGGAGGGGTAGATCGGGCGGGGTGTCCATGGGGGTTACAACCGCAAGCCACGGAGCTGGTGAAGTAACGGCCTCCACCGGCCGATATACAGAGGGCAAAAATCGGAGGCGGTGGGGAAGGGCCCGGAGGTAGGTGCCCATCGGATGCCCTAGCGGGTATTTGCAACGTAGGGTGTTTTTGCCGCACGGATGGTGATGCAATTCATCCACACTACGTCCCGCCCCTCGCTTCCCTCAAAAAACGGAAATAAATGTCGTCTGGAAGGCTCGAAGACTGAAGCGGCTTCAGGAGCTGCTCCGCGAGGAAGAGCAGGAGCGGCAACGGCGGGTGGAGCAGGAGGAGGTGCGGCGGCGTCAGGGGCGGCACGGCGACGCGGCTTTGGCGGCAGTACTCCCCTCCTCCTCCTCCTCCTCCTCCCCCTCCTCGCTGTATGGTGGGTGATGGCTCGGATGGAACTGGGTGGTGTGTCTTGGGGGGGAGGGGGAGAGGGAGGGGGAGGGGGGCACACCAGCATGGAAATTGGACTCTTCATTGCACTGCACAACCGGCACCAACGATTAACGAATTTTTTTAACGACCTCTCATTGTATGAAAGCTTCCCGCTTTTCAAAAGGATTGTTGTATAGCTTCACACGGTTGGAGTTTTTTTACCGCTTTTCGGCCCCGTTTGCTGTTACTGAAGACGCGTTGTTATTGGGGGGGGTCATGTGGGTCGCGTTTATTCCTGTGTGTTTCCCAGGTTTGGTCTCAAAGATGGTCAGCTCCGTCTTGAAGGTGGCGCCTCTGATGGGCGGCAGTACGGCAGGACCTGCCGACGGCGGCGCCGCTGGCGGCGGCGGTGACACTGCTGACAGTCCGTTGGCTCGCGCCCGTCAGGCGGCAGTACGGCGGGAGGAGGTGCTGCAGCGGGAGGTCGGACCACCGCCTGAGGCTCCAGAACCACCCAAGGGTAAGTACGGCAGTGTACGGTACGGTACGACGTGATCGATCCCTCATTACCTACTCTCCCATCGCCATCAGTATAGCTATACCCGCCTTCCGCCGACCCGCAGCTTCACAATCCCTCACACCCGACCGTTGGGGCCAACTGTATCCATGTTTTTAAGGACTCCACCACCCCAACCGAATCAGTCGTTAGGCAGTACATGTTCCCTCTTTGTGGCGTTACCACCCGGTAAATGTCATCATCTCCTCACACACAACGGGTAAGTTCGTCCGTCAAGGGACAGCGCACAGCGCAACTGAATACCCAACACGGAAAACACATCAACTGATTCCTGATGGCGATGTCGACACGGCGCCACATTGCCCCTCTGTCCTGTGTCGCTCTGTAGGTATGTACGTCTGGGGCAGTGTGGGTAGCGGCAAGTCCATGTTGGTGGCCATGTTCTACCAAGTAAGCAGGGGCCGGGACATGTGACCGTATGTATGTATGTATGTATGTATGTATGTATGTATGTATGTATGTATGTATGTATGTATGTAATGTGTGTATGTATGTCGGTCTATTCGCTTGACGATTTGATGCTTTTCCTTACGTTGGGGCCTGTTTAAACGCACACACGTTTACACATCTCAACGACCCCAACCGCACTCCAACCGCATTCCAACGACCAGGCCCTTGTGGAGAACGCGCAGCTGCCCGCCACTCGGTGGATGCATTTCAACGCGGCCATGCTGGAGGTACGGTGTACGAACTGCACGGCCACCGTACCTTGGCCGTACCGAATGGCTATGCCAGGATTCTTGCATGGCCCCCGCAATCCTCGTAGGCCAACAAACTGCAATCAAGTGAAAAAAGGGTTGTTGCGAAATAAACCTGTAATAACTATCTGCTATAACCCATCGTCTCGCATGATGTTGATATTATGTTGTTACAGGGTGGTATAGCTTCACCAGCAGCCCCCTTTCCCGAGGCAGTTCCCTGCTCTCCCCTGCGAGAGGGGCACCCTAATCCATTCACCCCATCCAACTTCAGAATGTATTCGTTGGGTTCAGCAACTCACCACCAGCATCCAACCAAATCTAGCGGATCAACGGCGCCACAACTTAGTTCCTGGTCAGCTCGCAAATTGACATAATCACGTCCTACACCGTCCACAAGATGGGGGCCCACCTCCCAACTCAACACCCCTCACACACCGAGGGATCGGCAGGCGGATTTGAACCCGGAACCTCCGGGAGCAGAAGTCAGGCCTTAACTTCTGCCAGCCACCTGCCTGTTTTCCAAACTGCGCCCTCCCGCTCTTCTCCCTCTCCCCCTCTCCCCCTCTCCCCCTTCCCCCTTACCCCCCCCTACCTCCCCCCTACCTCCCCCTTACCTCCCCCTTACCTCCCCCTTACCTCCCCCCTTCCCCTCTTTCGGTTCTTTCGGTTGCTACTATCTTGCCCTGGCAGCAGCTTCAATCGCGTGTGGTTCGTCTTTCCCCCTTCCCCTCTCTACCAGATCCACAGTCGGCTGCACCACCTGGACCGGGAGCGCTGGAGGCTGAGGGAGGACCGGGAGCGCCTACACCACCAGCACCACCACCACCGTGAACAACAACACGTACAACAACAGCGGCACCAAAATGACGCCTCCACTGCTGCTGCTGCCGCGGAGGCGGTTGACGGGGCTGTTAGCGATGAGTTGGAGGAAGGAGTGGAAGATGAGGACGACCCCGAGGCGACTGTGGTAACTGCAGCAGGGGGGGGGGGCTGTAGCGGCAGGGGGCCTGGAGGTGGTGATCGGGTGCTGGTGGGGGCTGCAGCACCCGCGGCAGCAGCATCAGCGGCAGCGGAGGAGGTGGACGATCTACCGGTTCCGGAGCATCTGCAAGGTGTGTTTCGACATTGGGACCCCCGCCAGGACCCCGAAGTACGGCGTCAGAAGGAGGCCAAGGCGGCCATGCTGGCGGTACGGCGGCACATGAGGTATGTACGGCAGAGTATGTTTGGAAATGCTGTGTATGTGTGTATGTATGTATGTTATTGATGTGAGTGTGGTGCCAACGCCCGCACATATACGCGTACACGGGAAGAATGGGGGTTTTAAGAGGCTGTACGGCATGTGCTGACGCTGTACGACATTCTGCCCTGGAGTGCAGGCTGGCTAGACTGGGGCGAAATGACCCCCGGACGCTGGCAGCGGCTAACGCCCAGGTAGGCGAGTTGGGAGGAGTGGGGGTATGGTGACTACTTTGCATGGTGAACACTCCCCAAGGATGTGACCCCTCTCCCTAAATACACATACACACACATATACACACAAGCACACACCATACACACACATACACACACATACACACACATACATACACATACACACATACACACACATATACACACAAGCACACACCATACACACACATACACACACATACATATACATACACACACATACACACACATATACACACAAGCACTCACCATACACACACATACACACACATATACACACACAAGCACCCGCCATACACACACCCTTACACACACGCTCTCCACCCCGAACTTCCCTCGCTTTGACGCCACGTGCACCTGCCCCCTTTGAAACGTGGATGGATCAACAACGCATTCAAGTCCTAAACCGCTCCAATAAAAGTAATACATATGCCCTCCCATTTGCCCCGATCCACCTTGTTCTTATCCAATCCAATCATTTCAGGGCCTTATGCGCGTGGCTGCCAGTTTTATTCGGGGCCGGGCTGGGGAGCCGGGGAGTGGCTGGGGCGCAGGGAGGGGGCCCTTGGCCTCGCTGCTGTACTTCGATGAAGTGCAGGTGGGTGGGGGCTAGGGGCGGGATGGTGGGGAAAGTTGGGGTTTCGTGGAGTACGGCAGAGGGCTAGGTGAGGATTTTGTACGGAAGGTCTGCCTAGGTACTTGTGCCCCTCGGGCGCACTTCTTCCCACACATCTTCGCATGAGAGGAGGGGCGCGTGGAGGTACACGCACGCACGTGTCCGCGCTCCGAAACTCCTTTTTTGGTGTTTTTTTGGTCCCCGTGCAGGTCACCGACGTGTTCAGCGCCGTTGCACTCAAGGTGTGTACGACATCGACGTGTATTGTATTTGTTTGAAAGAGAAATCGTTTTGTTTCTTTTTTTGTGCTAGTTGTGAGAGTGTGTGTGTGTGTGTGTGTGTGTGTGTGTTCATGAACTCAGCCGTGAGGATGAAGTGCTGTGGATGGCACCAGAGCAACTATCTTTGCGTGTGTATGCGCGAATGTATGTATGTCTGCATGTATCTCTGTATGTGTAAGCCATGCCTAAGCGCTATGGCTATGGCTATTTGGGCGGCAGTCGCTTGGTTTCTTAGTTTGGCCACCGACATTTAGTATCTTTTGCACTTCTGCATACTCATACTCTTCCCCCCTCGTCCCCTCCCCTCTCGTCTCCTTTACACCCCCACCCCCACACATACATATATACATACACTTCCCCCTCCGTCTCCCCCCTTATCCGTCTATTAATACTGCGGAGTATCCGTCCGTCTATCCCTCCCTGGTATCAACATCACTCGTCTGTGGTTCGTCTTCTTACCCCTTATCCCTCGTCCTCCCCTTCCCCCTTTCCCCTCCCCCCTTTCCTCTCCCCCCTTTCCCCTCCCCCCTTTCCCCTCCCCCCTTTCCTCTCCCCCCTTTCCCCTCCCCCCTTTCCCCTCCCCCCTTTCCTCTCCCCCCTTCCCTTCCCCCTTCCCCTTCCCCCCCTTCCCCCTTCCCCTTCCCCCCCTTCCCCCTTCCCCTCCCCCCTTACCCCTCCCAGGGGCTTGTGGAGGCTCTTACCTCCACGGGCTGTGTATTGGTGTGCACCTCCAACCGCTCCCCCGGGGAGCTGCCCCGACACGGGCTTCACGAGGACATGTGGGCGCACTTTGTGGAGACGTGAGAACAGCTTGGGGGGTGGGCTTGGTGGGGAGGGGAATTTGGTGGGGAAGAGGGCCGGAGGAGAGAGGGGAGGAGAGAAGGCTGGAGAGAGGGGAAGAGAGTGGCAAGGAGGGAGGCACGGAGGGAGGGGAGAAGAAACGAGAGGAGAGAGGGGAGGAGGGATATAGACAAGGGGCACAAGAAGAACAGTACCACACGGACAAACCCAGAATTCTCACCCCGCCCCGATCCCAACCTGCAACTCACCACCCGCCCGACTCCTTGCGTCAACCGGCAGTGGTTGTTTGCCACCAGTGGTATTACCACCACACATATATAACTCCCCCACCCTCCCATCTACCCCACGCTCCCACCGGCGTCCCAACAGGCTGCTACAGCGCTGCGCGGTGCACGAGCTCTCCTCCTCAGCCGACTACCGCCGCATGCTGCTGGAGCAGGGAAGAACGCAAATGGAAGCGGCAGTAGCAGCAGCCGCCGCCGCCTCAGGGACCGCAGGCAGCGGCAGTAGCAGTAGCGGGTCGTGGCCCCCGCTATCCCGCAGCTACATCCTGGCGGCGGGTGCCGAGGGCAGGGCGGAGCTGGAAAGGGTGTGGAGGGCGCTGGTGACGGGGCCGGGGGGGGGCCCGCCGGGTAAGGGGAGTCGTACAGGCGGAGGCAGCGGCGGCGACGACGACGAAACTGCTACTGCAGCAGCGGCAGCCACGGCGGCGGGGTCCGCGCCGTCTGAGGGAAGAGCCGAGGAACAGCAGCAGTGTCATGGGGAGCAGGCGGCGCCTCTGAACGTGCCGGTGAGTGTGTTGTAGTGGGTGGGTGAGGGTGAAGAGGGTGAGAGTGAAGAGGGTGAGCATGGAGAGGGTGCAGGGTGAGCCAGTTTTTATGACTTGCGCCGCGAGAAGGAAAGGGCGAGTGAGTGAACGAGTGAATGAGTGCGGGTGTGACGGACTGACGGACGGACGGACGGACGGACGCTGCCTCAGTCATTTCGTTAACGTTTTCCCCACCTTCCCCCTCCTTCCCCCTCTTCACACCCAACCCGGGGCATGGCTGAACCGGCGACGTGGGCACCGTGCGGCGGGGGCCCCCTTCCAGGTGCTGTTCGGTCGTACACTGGAAGTACGGCGCAGTTCCCCTTGCGGTTCCGCCGCCTGGTTCAGCTTCCCGGAGCTGTGCGGGCGGCCGCTGGGGCCCGCCGACTACCTGGCGCTGTCTCAGAGGTTCCACGTGGTGTTTGTGGAGGGCGTACCCGCCATGTCCTTGCAGGTAAGGGGGGGGGAGGGGGGGAGGAGGACAGGAGGGAAGTGTACACAGCGCATATCCTTCCGAACCTGGTGATGCGAAATTTTGAAGCTGGGGGGTGACCAGCAGCGTCTATAGCAGCAAAATATCGGAGGGGAATGAGGGGGCCGGGGAGGTGTGTGTGGTGTGGAGGGTAGGGAAAAGGGGAGGGGGCGGAAAAAAGATGGAAGGAAACAGGCGAGGAGGTGTGCGTGTCTGATGGTGTGTGTGTGTGTATATGTGTGTGTATGTGTGTGTATGTGTGTGTGTATGTGTGTGTATGTGTGTGTGTGTGTGTGTGTCTGTGTGTGTGTAGGGGGGAGAGGGGACAGTCCTCCGAAATTTACAACTTATTGTGCCGTACAACTCCATTTTGTTCCGCAGTCACCTGTCTAACATCTTTACCCTGGTCATCATCGCTCGCTCATTGTTCTGCATTGTACTGTACTGCACTGTACTGCACTTTAGGTTCGCGATCAGGCTCGTCGTTTCATCACCCTGATAGACGAGCTGTACAACTGCCGGTGTGTGTTGGTGGTGAGTGCGGAGGTGCCCCCCGAGGAGCTGTTCTCCGGGGCGGAGGGCCAGGAGGGGATCCTGGACCTGGAGAGCCTGCAGTTCGAGACGGCGGTGGAGGGTGAGCGTGTGTGTGTGTGTGTCTGTGTGCGAGTGTGTGTGTCTGTGTGTGTGTGTGTATGTGGAGGGGGATCGTGAGGGTATGTGAGTTTGGGGGGAAGGTGTTGGATGTAGGGGATGGTATGCTGGTGACGACCTACATACCTACATACCTGCTTACCTACTTACCTTCACACACTCACAAGCTCGCCGCTAAAACCCTGAGTCCTCCATTCCCTTTCCTCCACCCGTCACTCGGCCACTACCCTCCCACACTGCACTGGTGTCCCCCCCCGTTTGTGGTTGCTCTTTCCCCCCCGAGCCCCTCCCGCTTCGGGGCCCGCGATTCCAGATCTGACCTCCTGCTCACCGCCACCACTGGCCCCCGTGTGGGTTTGTTGTGTTGTGGGGTGATGTGAAGGTGCGAGATTGCGTCGTGACGTGATGGCGGCTGGCGGCGTGGCGCCCGTGGCGAGCAGCCCCGCGGCCCTGGCGGCGACGGTGGGGGCGCTGGGCGGCGCGGAGGAGCGATTCGCATTCCGCCGGGCCGTGTCGCGGCTCCTGGAGATGCAGTCGCCCCAGTACATTCTGGGAGCGTTAAGGTTGCGGCAGCAGCAGCAGCAACAGCAACAGCAGTAGCACTAGCACCACCACGTGAGGTGGTAGGTTGTGTGCTGCTGAGCGAGGGGGCGACGATGTAGCTATGCGTGCGCTATGCGTGTGATCCTGATGTGCATGGTGATCCTGATAGCGGGGAGCGGTCCGGACTGTAGTTGTGTGTAGTGCGCGGCCATGTCATCTGGAGGGAGAGATGCGGGCGGCAGGTGTCGATGGTGTCGGTGGCAGTGGTGATGGGGGCGCATGGTTCCGGGCACTTTCCATTACATCCCACCATTACGGTCAACCGAATCTTGTTCCGGCCGGTAACCGACTGGTAAGGTAGCCTATCAGCAAGGTAACCCTTCGTTAGAGTAACCCTTCAGGCCGGTAGGTAACTCCCCTCTCGGCAGCACTTCCGGGGCCCCACCCTACCGACAGGTTGGGCCGGAAGGGTTACAGATCGGTGACCGACCGGTCGAATGTATACGTGCCATAAGGGAAGAGAGGAAAGAAAAGAAAGTATGAAACGGTAACTCTCAACCTGCAGATGGGTCAGCCTCGGTGGAAATTCTGCCAGCAAACTCATTGCGATACTCATTGCGTATGCCCCTATGGGTCAAACTGCACGCCAGGACGAGGATGCTCCAAAACTGGCGAGGTCCAGCGTTGTGGCACCGTGCGTACCGTACTGCTACAGGGTACTTCAGGGTCCCGTCCGCTTGGCGGATGTCCGTTGTGGGGGGACTGCCAGTACGGTCAGTACGACAACATATAATACCTTAGCCGTGGTCCAGTTCGCAAGCATTGCGCACTTTTAACCTGCTTATCGTTGTTGCTTTTGCAATAAAGAATTGATGCACGATCTAACCCAATCGATATTTAATGCAAGTGGCGCGGTATGTAGTTGTTGATTGTTTGCTCACAGGCAACCTATGAACAAGACTTAACTTTGTTTACCGGGTGTGGATATGCTGATATGCTTACGGTGATCGTAACGATAAAGATAAAGCTCCGGTATAGGTACCCTATGACAGGTCCACAAGATGTAAAGTGCTTGGTGACTGCGGTTCCATCATTACCCCTCAATTGAAGTTACGAGGGGTTATCGTTATAACGAGATGGCCTCATCCGCCATGCGTCTTCTGGAAACCAATGCAAGGCAGGACGCACAGTCCTTTGTTGCCTTCGCAGCGCCATTGGTACATGGGGAGGGGGGTTGTAATTGTATACGACAAGGGGTTGCTGTTTGGGCGGCTGTTTGAAGTTAGTTAGGAGTATCGTCCAAGGAGTGCTTCGTAATAAACCAGCATCCCATGCGCCTGCTCGCACGGATAATTGCCAGCCACATAGTGGTGCTAGGGATGTAACACAGCAGCGGAAGTCCACGATCTCGCACGAACCGACCCACCCACCCCGCCGCGTGCAGCAGCGCATATGTGCATGCAGCCTCCCCGCTGTAGGTGTCCAGCATCTTGGACCGCAAGTATCTTCCCCTGCGCTTAGCTTCAAGACTACTGCCAACCTTTCCACTGCTTTTCATGCTACTGGACGCCTCCCGGATACCCTATCCTATCCCCGCAGGTCGCATTTCCGATTACGAACATATACATGGCTTCCTGCGCGAGAGAGGCTTCAAAGTATCATTGTTGACGGAGTCCAGCAGCAAGCACGGACGAGTATACCCACATTTCGCGCCCATTTCATACTAATGCCGCTGTTTTTGCTCGAAGTTGCCTTCTGCTTCATGATGGCGACAAACTGCAATTGCACCCCATCAGGCACCTTTACCCATCGTGCATCCACCACCACACCCGCTGATGTTATGGAGATGGTTTCCGCCAAACCTTTCATTCACCGTTATCAGCAGGAATTTCAGCAAACGCCACCAGCCATGCTTGCCTAAAGCCTACTTGCAACTCGGATGTTTGCCATGCTTCACATTCGCTAGATCCGCTGATCTCCCGCATGTAGCTGCGAAGGACGTGCTGCATAGCAGGACGCTGCAGTTATTACTCATGTCCACTTTGTTGCGAGACTATGCGGAGCGACTTGTTTGCACTCAAGTGGAAGGCAGTTCTCCCTCTTCGTTTTTTCCTTTCCTGTTCCGAAACGGCCATATACACCTTTGCTGGAACAGTTGGGCAATGCAAAACTGCACGACATTGTGCCGATCCTGGTCCTCTGTTGTAATGCTGTAGCCATGATAGATAGCGCTGAAAACCAGTTTCGTGTGCTGTCGATGCAACAATACTTACCATGCTGCTGCTGTGTCACTGCCATGTTGCTGTTTGTGCAATCCGATGCTAGCTGCCGGCTCCAAGCCAACCCGCCGTCGCCCCCCATCACACACACACACGACAGCCCAACTTCGTCCCACACGAGAAGCCCACCCAGCACACACGCGCCGCGGTTTCCTCGCACGCTAAGGCCGTGTGTAAGTTCCGTAGCATGACCCACCAGGGGATGACGAACACGGCAGCCCACAACCTGCTCTTGCTTCCCCCTCCTACAGCTCCTACCAACGGCAACCTCCCAACGGTCACCAACCAACCGCCAACCCCAAATGGACGTATCCCCCACAGTGCACGTCGCCCGGGAGGCGGACCATCTCACTCCCTCCCACCCACACTGCGCCCAACCCGCTTGCTTCCCCCAGCTGGTGCAGTTGATGAGTTCAGTATGCGCCCCTCGCTCATTCCCTCCCGCTATGGACACTCCCTCCTTGCTACAGCAGCGCCCGATGGGTCAGGGCAGCATCTATTGCCAATTTCTCCAAGATGACCATTACTTCATCCTGTCGTCACCATGCCCCCCCCAAAGCGCGGCTCCCTGGCCCCCTTCTGAAAACACACACGATAATTTCCATTGACAGGGTCAGACCCAGCACATCTCACATCCAACGCTACCCGACATACGGCTCGCCGGCGAGCTTGGAGTTATGCCCCGACAACCCTCCTACTCAATCTTGTAAGCTGCACCCGTGCGTGCAGTCCCAAATCATTTCCCAGCCCCGAAACCACAGACCGCAGCACGCTAAAGATGTGCGTGTTGGCCACATGCTTAACCCTGCCAAACGCGTTCTCATCCACAAGGGACATCTCTTCGTCGCACGTGCCCCAGCACAGCACTCCCCGGGCGGTGTCGGCCAAACCGTCCTGCTGACCACACCCTTTCACTGTGCTCGTCCGTATGTTCCACCTGTCACCCAGTGCTCACATTGGCTCAGTCCCCGACATCGGGAGCCCACCATGCCTGTTAGGCCCGGCAGGGCCTGCCGACGCCAAATAACCCCGATCCAGGCCCGACAGGACGAGCCGTGCCCTACCCTGACTTGTGCACGTGAGAAACCAAGTCCCCACCCATGGCGTGGATTCACTAGCTGTAACCGATACCCACCGCCCAATCCACGCCAACATGCTTGGATACTGCATCCCCCCAACCGACCAGGCCCAAAAACCATTACCCACCTTGTCAACGTGGACTGCTGGCGAAATAGCTCCGAAAACTGGCTTTGCTGCTGCGATATGCTTGCGCTTTTGAGCTGGCTGGTTTTGGACTGAGTTGCAAGATGATGAGGGACAGAAAGAGACGATAAGAACCCGATCATCGCCCGTTACACGCCCTAACCTCCTCGATGGCGAGGGAGGCTTGGGCATAGCCCTCCCGCGCCAGTCCCAAACGGCCACAGCTCAAAACGTCAATTTACTTGAGCGGAATGAAACGGGATGAGTGCGTCGCGCCAATGCCTGGGCGTCCGTGCTTGACAGGCTTGTACGAGATGGAGAACTCGGCCAGGTAGTGGCCAACCATCTCAGGCTTAATCTCCACTTGGTTGAACGTCTTGCCGTTGTAGACACCCACAACGCTGCCAATCATCTCCGGCACGACAATCATGTTGCGCAAATGCGTGCGCACAGGCTCCGGCTTCTCGCCGCTAGCAGCCAGCTTCTTAACCTTGCGAAGCTTAACAATGAAAGACTGGTGCTTCCTCTTCAGGCCACGCTGGAAGCGGCGGCGCGCACGAGCATGGAAAAGCTGAACATAGTCGCTGGTCTTCATGTCCAGCAGCTGGTCCAGGTCCACCCCACGGTAGGTGAACTTGCGGAAAGTACGCTTCTTGTCGCCGGCGTCAGCCATCTTGCCTAGCGGTAAAGACTACGTGCCTGGCGGCGAGAGGAAAGAGAATTCGCTAAGGTGTTGGCGCCCTCTTCAGGGCGGCGGAGTACGGCGCGTTGGGCCCACAACTGTACGGTCTTCAAGCTCCTTGATTGTTTCGCACACACCGCTCTCTTGTTCAATAAGAAAAAGACCTGTTATTGTTCGTCAATATCTCAGCATTGCGCGGCTCAAAACTTATCGCAAGAATGCAAACACAACTTAATGCTCGTGCCACTGTAACTGTTCCGTTCAGGTGGGATGTGATATATGAGGTACATATTTAGGTTGGCAGTACGGTTGGGGCATCCAAAGCAGATCAGTAGGCCCTAAAATGGTAACTAGCCAGATATTTAACGCTTATATCCGACCCGTGGACAGGGTGTCACGTGCAAGCCGGCTCACCGTTCGCACACGGGCGCTTTTTGGCTTCGGGTAAGCCTGAATCGGGCCCGAACGCTTACCTCATCTTTTGGCTGTAGGAGAATTTGTGAATTGTTTGTTGCTAGGACGTTGGCGTACTGGCTCTCTTAGGAACAGAGCAATAGGCCCGAAGTGTTTCAATATGGCGTTATGTTTGAGTTTTGGGGCTTGGAGAATGTGCCTCCAACGGGGTTTACATGACAACTGCCGTAGGGGTCTCAAAGCAAGCATTCTGCATGGTTGAGACTCCCGGGTAACCTGCCCACAATTTTTTCATCTTTTCCCCCTCCCCCGTTCCCACTTATCCCCGGCCTGCAGCAAGTCCAAGAATGACGTTGACTCGGAGAAGGAGGAGCAGTGGCGGCTGCAGCAGGAGCTGATCCAGAAGCGTAAGACCGGGCAGCTGATTAAGGAGGCGAACGAGCGGCGAAAGAAAGTCGCGGTATGTAATGCGCACTAGCAAGTTGTCCGGGGGTAGATCACTCAGAGCCCTAGCTGCCGTCCCCTGGTTCGCGCCTGGTCCTGGTCCTGGGCCTTCGTCCAAAGGCAAGCAGCCGTGGGTTCAACCTTCCTACATGCGTCTTGCGATTGGCAGCTCTCACCGCGGGATGCATCAGCTGGGGTTGTCCTGGACTCCCTCCCTCGTGGCAATATTATGAGCGGATGACGTTCGTAGATGCTGTAGATGCAGCAGCCCAACGGGTGGAGGATGGAGCCACACTCAGAAGCGGACAGCGCAGCTGCACACGATAGCGAGCAGCATAAGTATAACTCCCCCCAGCTGGCCGGATTACGGCTATACTCAAAATGTATTGGATTGGGCAATCGCTACAGCTGAGCAGCGTTTCGTAGGCCCATGGGTCAGTATGCTTGCAGCCGCCGGCGTACGACCAGGCAGGGCGCGCCCTGAGCAACTACCCGCCCCAGCTCAGTAACGGCAGCATTGGCATTAACCATGCGCAGGGAGGGCAGAAGGTAAATATGCTGATGGCAGAGTGAAGGTAGTGTGGTGTTAGTGCGGGCGCTGCCGCTGCTGCCCTGAAGCGACTGGGGCGATCAGCAAAGCCACCCTGATGCGAGCAAGCAGCACTTGCTGCTTCGGTTCAGCGGGTTGCTCTACTTTGGGTGTGCAGTTCATGGAAATCACGCACGGCCAGGGCCGCGTTAATTCTGTGGAAAAACGTGCTCTTGGTTATTGTTTTCATATAGGGTGCTGCTACACTGCCGGCCATGCGGCCTAGTCGGTTCAGCTGCATTCACTTGACACGGGCAGATGGCAGCTGCTCGAGGCGACACCTCTTTCCTTCTCACTGCCCTTCAAGGTATTCTGCTCCGTCTGCTGCGTCAACAGGAGCGGCAGCCGTTTCGTGATGCATGAGCGACGCTGCTGTTGCCACAGAGACTAATAGCAGTGACCGCTTCCGCTCCTTTGCCGCGCACCTTTGCCGTTGCCGATGGCGACATTGGGAATGCTTCCGTCGCTATCATCATTTGTGCTGTCGCCAGCGTACTTGGAACTTTTGTAACCCCTCCTCCAGCTACCGCGCTGCGCCCGACCCCGTCCTACGCCCCTCTGGTTTTGTCACAGGAGGAACTGGCCTCGCGCAAGGAGCTGCGGCGTCGTGAGAAGGATGCCTTGGCTCGCGGAGAGATGCCGGACACGTTGAAGAGCTGGAAGGTGGGATAGTACTCTCCTGGCGCGGAGCGGCTTGTTTCTGTCGAGGAGCAGGGCTGTAGATGTGTCATGAGATAGCGGCCTTGAAAGGCAAACGCTATGGAAAAGTAGTACTAGCTGAGCTGCGAGGTGTAGAGCTGCGAGCAGTGCAGGAGTACTGTCAGTTAACGCACGCCGTTGAGGAGACGTGTGGCCGGACACTTCATGTCTACCTTTTTCCGCACGGCTTGACACACGTGCTCCCGTGCCCTGTCGCAACGGTATCCGGCGCCAATTCCATCTTTCGCAGCCGTACGATAAGGAGATTGATGAGAAGGCCAACAGCGGCATTGTCGTCCCGTTGCTGCCCTTCGGCATTAAGAAGTACGATGAGGTGCGTCCGTGTGGATAGCGGGATGGGGCCTTCCTGGGTTTATTTGCGTGTTTGGGTGTTTTGACCGTGTTGTGAGTTCAGGTTGTGGCAGCAGCGCTCGCCGGGAACTTGAGAGGCTTGGGGCCGTGTGGTTCAAGCAGCAGGAACGGCTGGGTCGGGCAGCATCCAGGGATTTCAATGCCGCGCTATGCGGAAAGGAGATCTATTTCGGGAATATGGCTAGAAACTCACTGGCGTTTATGCGGGATGGGGATGGATGCTTCCAGCGTTTTTTCCCAGTGAACCTGCCCAAACCGGTAACTGCGGTGGCAACTGTGCTTTGTCAGTTTGCTTCGCACCTTCCGCCACAGAGCAATGTTAGCAAAGAACCCCGGCTCTGTTACTGGCAGCTGCCCGCGTGGAGCAGTGATAGCGAAGCATTGTGCTGGCATACGTCTCGTCTCCCATGCATTTGTGGTTCCACGAAGCCCCGGCGGTGCTAACGAAGCACGAATCTGCAGCCTGCAGCCCAACTTTTTTTGTCCAATCGGTTCCCCTCCGGACAGGGCGAGCGGTTCGATCTGCGCAGCCCCTACAGCGACGCGGGCTGGGTAGACCCTGAGGAGCAAGACGCCTGGGCGGGCTTGAAGAAGATTGGCACCAAGATTCTCAACTTCTCCGGCAAGAGCGAGCCAAGTAAGTCGTCGCCATTGCTAGGTTCTTGGTATATGATATAGGTTGTTAGGGTTTGGGAGCTTGAATAGGGGCCTGGCCAAAAAGGCTTGTAAGGGGACGCAAACGCGCTTTCAGATCGTAATCGTTATATCCCTCGGCTTGAGTTGCATCGGCCTGGGGGCTTGTCGCATTCCCGCTGATGTGCTGACTTCGCAACCCTGCACGTACCCATGACGTCCCGTGGGGCCTGTGATACGATTTCATGCTGACAGTAGCACAGCGGAGCGGGTTGTGGTGAAAAGTATTACAATTTTGGTAGGATAGCAGTCTGTTTCGTTGTTATGTTATGAATGTCGGACAGCCCTAGACCGGCCCTCGGGCCTCCGGCTCGTATGGGCCCTTGACACCCCCGGAGAGTAACGCAACCTTAGGAGGTGAATTACATACATAATTGTACTAGGAAGAATGTTTGTGGCCCCTGGGCCCCTGGGCCTCAGATGTCGGCGATGGATCACGAAAGAATGGGCTTTTGCCGTAGAGGCTTTTGCCGTGCCGTGGCTTTGCAGAGCCTGATTGCTGCGCCTTGGCCACCTTGGGCTTCTCCGTACTGGGAAATCCCATTTACACCGGCCCGGACACCTTGATCGATGCGTTCTTCCCTCCGGTAAAATTTCTTACTGACCAACTTATTCCGTACCGTTCACCCAACCCCTCCCTTCGCTCCTCCAGCTGAGCTGAAGCCCATCATGTGGGCCACGCCCTTCACTAAGAAGCGTGGCGAGGAGGACGATGAGCCGCAGCAGCAGCAGCAGCGTGGCGGCAAGCCTAAGTCGAAGTAAATGCAGCGTGGCATTGCCGAAGCGAGCAATTAAGTCTGAGAATGGCTGAGGAACTGGTTTGGGCCACCTCACCGGAGCCGCAGCAGGCTGTATAACCATTATAACAGGAGCAGTTTATGGATCCCTTCTAATTTTGTTTTGAGTGCAGCATATTGAGTGGCAAGGTGAAGTGTTACCGGAGCAGCAGCTGCGTGGCAGGCGCCACTCCTCGGTGCGTGGTGCAGCACTTTCTGTTAAGAATGGCATGAGGGACGACGGTTGGCAGTCAGCCGGAGCGGATCACGAAGATTCAGGCCTGCCAGGTGCTATCGTCAGTCATCTGTCATAGATTGTGTAGCAGCTGTTGTTGCTCCTCCTCGGCCGCCAGGGCTGCCGCCGCCTTGCGCCTGCTGTACATGCGACCCAACGTGGCGGATACAGCGATGTGGGCGCCGCACAACGCCAGGCCCACGGCTGCCACGGCAGAGGGTCCCAGCGACAACCAAACACCTGTGGAAGAGGTTGTGAACGTTGGCAAGCATCAAGGCTGGGATGCAGCTTGTCGGCACTGCAAGGTTGTCATGTATGTAGCAATGCGTGGTATGCTTATACTTGGCTGCCTGGCCTTCTATCTCATTTTGTGCAAGGTATCGCGTGGTGGGAGTTTCGGCGGAGCGAATGACAACAGGGCGGAGATGTGGCGTGAGCAATTTTGAGCAATTCAGTTGTTTGAGCTGGATGTCGTTGGGCTCTGTTCGAGGTGACTGAAGAATTAATACGTGTTCTTTAATTGGAGTGACAGGTTCTCTCCGTGTCTATTACGATGTGTCCATAACACATGCAGCCGAAGGTTACTACGGCATGGCATTTCATTTACACTGTACAGAAGACAGGTAACGAAGGTCGGAGGAATGCTTATTTGTTAAGCGGTGCAGGTTTCGCGGTGGTGGTTTTATGCATTTAATATGTCCCTGCGGACCACAGCATTACCATGGTTTGGTTTTCAGAAGTCGCATTTCTTCTTTCAGCGATATATGATATGGTTGATATTTAATGTGTTAATGTTGGCTGTCTTATTGGTCAGTGGTTATTAGTCGATCGCCACGTTAAACGGTGTGTTTCGGTAGATTCCAGAATCGCACTCATTCCTCATCGCCCGACGAATAGGAAAAATATCAACGGTTATGACCAGTGTAAAAACTCCCTTCCCCTGCGTACGGTGCAGCTTACAGCGTAGCCAAACCTAACTTTCCCGCAGTACACACGAGACACCCCCACCCGCATGGCATAGTTTGTACCATCATTGTACATACTGTCCTTGCAACCCCTTCTCCTTACTTCCTGGCGACTTCCTTTTTGCCACCACTATGATGCTCCGCCTTCCACCCGGCCCAACCTGCGCCATCTCCCCACCCACCAACCTCTTAATCCTCAAGAGCCAGCACTCACCCACTACCTCGAAAGCCGCCGCTGCCGCCGTGTCCCCCAGCCGCTGCACCACCGTATCCAATACCACCTTGGCCGCGTACTTCTCCCGCCGGCTCACCAGCGTGAACAGCACCTCCCGGCACGGCCGCGCCAGGGAGTACTGCACCACTTTACGAACCACCTCCACACCTGGCACCCGGGACGATAAAGTGACAGGAAGGGAAAGGGACGGTAAAGGAAACGCCACACAAATGCCGGGGTGCAAGGTGCAAGGATGGGCTGTCGACAACGGCGGTAGGTAGCGGAGGGGCCATGACATCGACACCTGTAGCGAGGGAGGGGCCGGCGCTGACTGGTGGAGCACAACAACGGCGGGCAAGGTACTTGGAACCGGGACGAGCCCAGTCGAATTGACGTGTGTGATATATTCTAACCCCGGGGTGAGGTCCGGTCCTGTCAGGTCTGCTGCCAAAGACCCATAATTGAAAAATCTACCGAGGACACGGGCATAAAAGGGATCCCAACCACCCATTTCTCGCGTATGTTTACCCACCCACCCACCCAGCCATCCACCCACCCATTCCCACCCACGCACCCGCAATGGTGGTCGCCGAGGGCGCTACCCCGAGGAGCGCCATCCCCGCCAGCGACACCAGCGGACCCACCAGCAGAGTGGGACCAACACCCAGGGAGGTCAGCACGCGACCTGAAGTGCGTCCAGCAGACGGGAGCAGCAGCAGCAGCAGCAGAGGCACAGAAGGCCATGGGCAGAAGCCGAGCCAGTTCGGGCTATCGAGAGGGGAGGTGATCATGATCATCATCATGATCATCATCACCATATAACTCCTGGATACCATCAGAGCTCTGTTCCCCTTCTTCCCCTAAAGGGGACGGAGTCCCCTAAAGGGGAAGAAGGGGTCTCGGGCATAACATTGGTGTCCATGCGTCCCTACCGCACCGTATCGTCCAGAATCCCGTTATCATACGCACGTCATACATAATCCCAGGGTTCCCATGTCCGTAAACCCCAACCGAAATCGCAACCGAATCCCGAGGTGCAGGTGGACACCTCCCTACCCGTCAGCAGCATCTGCGCGCCGAAGATGATGCCAGCACTGGCGGTGTTGAGCGCCGCGAAGAAAGCGATGCGCTCGTCCGACCCCTTCAGCCAGTCGGACCGCGACACGAGCGCGGCGCGCAGGAAGTACAACGTGGCTGAGGTCGAGTAGTTGAGCGCCAAGAAAGCACACGTGGCCATCAGGTAGGGCGACGAGGCGATGAGGCGGAAGCCCTCCAACAGCCGGCCGGTGTGGTGCGCGACGGCGCTGTGGGCAAGCTAGGCCAGGCAAGGGGATGGAATGGAAGGATAAGGAAAGGAGAAGGACAGGAGAAGGAAAGGTGGGGTTGGCGAGGCGCATACGCACGCAGACCGATTGAATTCGGGGGGTTGGGGCCCTGGTGGACATTGAGCGGTCGAGGGCAGCTGCCGCATGCATGTATACGCGCTCCATGACAGTATTATATACACAGTATATTAAATAAATATACATAGATATATACAGTATAATATATAGCAACACTATGTATAGCAATAGTACACGCACCCGCTGAACCCACTCGCGGCCGCCGAACCCTCGACGGCGCCCCGTGCCATTGCATTCCCCGGATGAGTCACCCGGCACAGCTCCGGTAGCGGCAGCCGCCGCCGGCCCCGAATCCGCATTGTTGCTGCTGCTGCTGCTGCTGCCACTGCTACTGCCTTTGCCTCCGCTATTGCCGTTCCCTAAGGTGCTGTGCTTGTGGCCGTTCACCGCTGAATGGCCGTCATGCAGCTGGTCCTTGACGGTCAAGCCGCCATCGCCATACGCCGTACGGCTGTACGCGTCGGCTTTAGAGGTCATCGCCTGCAGGACGCCGGGTTCCGCCACAGGCGTCGTCAGGGTAGGAAAGGAGCACCGCAGGGAGCAGCAACAGCGGCACCGCACGTGGGCGGGAAAGTGGGCGGTGCGGGTGGAGAGCTCTCCGGTGTGGAAGGTTGACGTTGTTGACCCAGGCGGTGGAACGGACACATGGGGCCAATACACCAGTGGTACGGGTGGAAGCGCCGTCGGTATTGGCGGCTGCCCCTGCTACTGCTACTGCTACGGCAAGGCCGACGGCAAGGCAGCTAGGACAGACTTTTATACTTATGAAAAAAACCGGGCCTACGCAAGCAACTTCCACAGTGTGCACGCAACAGCAAAATCCACGTACGTTTGTACGCATGTACACGCACCTGGCAAGACCGCCCCGCCGCCAGCAGCAGCGCAGCCGCGGGAAGCAGGAGCCACAGCGCGGCACCTACAGCGGCGCACGGGGAAAGATGAAACAGCGAATATGCCACCAGGGCACAGGGGGAATATACGGTACAGCAGCAGTACAGCAGTACAGTAGGGGGCAAGACAAATCTGTCGCTCTAGAGCGACAGTTAGGCGCAGCGTTGCGGCACAGTACAGCGATGTGATCCTCTTGCATCTTCAGGCCAGGCCGGGCCGGGCCCAGTCGCGACTTGCGTCACTCCTGCAGCTCTCAAGCGGTTCACCGAGCGGATGGATGGGGAGCGGAGGGGAAGGTACGGCCAGCCAAGGTGCGGGCTTTGGTTGTATAAACAGAAAACAAGTAATTGACTCAACGATCTAACGACTGAAGATTTGGGGAATGGAGGTGATCGCAGCTGCCACTGCAGCCCTCAGCCTTCTGCGGCACCTTGTCTTACACCGGCAACCCCCCTTCAGGGTCTCCATCACCTGTCGCGCCCGTGGTCTTGCACGCCGCTCCGAAACCTAGCGCCGCAGCTGATGCCATCAGCTGCCCCAACGTTGCCCCTACACATGAAGCACGCAAAAGACCGGTTCCAAGACACCAAAAATAGGCGTGGAGGTAGCCACATCGAATCCCAGCAAAAGCATGTAAGCAGTAACAGCAAAAAGCAGTCGCGACAGCACACGTGTGTGAGGAGGATACCCTGACGGAACAGAAGATACCTGCCCTGACGCAGCCGCGGTAGAGCAACAGGAAATAGATATAGATAGATTTTCACCGGCCTTGGAATACAATACAGTACAGTACAGTACAGTACAATACAGTACAATACAGTACAATACAGTACAATACAGTACAATACAGTACAATACAGTACAATACAGAACATTACAGTACAGAAAACACGCGGATTATAGGCAGGCATCCATCCACGCCGAGGGACCGAGGGGCATCAGAGTTCATCAGGGCTCCTAGGGGGAGATGCGCACTGCACATTACACAGCTCGACTGACCTGCTCCAAGGAAGCCGTACACTTTGGTGCTGGTAGCGGCAGTGAAGGTGTCGGCGCACACGGCCCACAGGGTGCTGGTGGAGAGCAGACTCTGGCGGTTGGGTAACAAGTAGAAGTTGACGGTTGGTAGTTGGAGTACGAGTCCAGGTCAGCATTAAAACGATAGGAATTATTATTCATCAAGGCCCCTCCCCTCACCTTCCTGAAAGATGGATCATGAAAAACGGATTCTGGAAGATCACAGCAGCGCAACAGTTTTGACGTTCTCTGTGGAAAACGACGCCGTTCAAAAACGCTTCCCACCGACGCAACCCCGTATCGTTGCTGTAGCCCCCGTTGACGCAAGGTACCCTCCACGCCTCTTCTGCTACTACCCAGATCCACCACCAAGCGTGCTGATGAAGTACGGACGTCCTTCCAGTCCGTCGCCAACCCCTTTCCCCTTTCCCCTTTCCCCTTTCCCCTTTCCCCTTTCCCCCTTTCCCAGCACATCCAGCCACCCATTCGCACCGGCCCTGCCCCACCAGGCTAACCTGTAGGCTTAGGTACACGTAAAAGGACACCCGCACGGCGTTGCCGTACCAGCTAATGGAGTGTGCTGCTTCCGTACCGCCGGCCCCATGAGACGAAGATGCCGCCGCCGCTGCATCCATGAGAGATGGACTGCTCGCGAGCCAGCGCTGCGGCGCCAGCAGCCGGGTAGCGACCCATGGGTCAGGGGAGGTAAGCAGGAGGAGCGCCCACAGGCCTGTGGTGGAGCACACACCGCCAACAGCCATGACGTGGCATCAAAGCGCGTCACGAACCATCGCAGTGCATCACAGCCGCCCACGTCACATCACACACTGCAGCGTGGGCCGCGGGCCTCCACCACGGGCAAAAAACGCACTTCAGGTTATGCACGACGTGTTATATCTACCGGATTTCGCATGTTGCTGCAACACAACATAATAGTTGGGATAACATGCTTACGGCAAAGCATAGCATGGCAGCATAGCACAGCTGAGCAAAGCACAGCACAGCGCAGCACGGTGATAGTACTTTCTTTACTATCTTCCCTCTGTATGGTCCTCGCATGGCACACTCACTCAGCAGACATCCAGCCATGACGCGACAAAGCCGTCGGAAGCCCACCGCCCTGCAACCGCCAGGACAGCACACGAGGTGACGTCGGGTGTCTGACGTCATCCGCCACGTCCGCATTATGTGATTATACTCTATATATACTCTGCATGTGATTATACACTGCCGAGAAGGGTGTTCCTGCCCTTCTCCCGGATGCACGTCCCTGCGCACCTCCCTGGCAGGGGCCCGCCGCCGCCGCCGCCGCCGCGCGCGTGTGTGCCATCAGCGCCCGCTGCACCCGACCCATCCACGCATATCAATATGAATGGCACCAATACACATACACACATACATACAGACGAACATACATATTCCCTGCACTGCACCTCCTTCTCGCGGCTGAGTTCATCATACAGAAACACCCTTCCAACACACACCGACACCGTCCCTAGTTGGCGTACGTTCAGCCGGCCGGCTCGTCCGCCCACCAACCTAGCTACCCAACATTTGCTAACCCATTTGCTGGCTAATATAACTTTTGTAGTTTAACTAGTAACAAGCACCACCCGCGAACCAGCAAACGCAGCTGGCCAGGCCGTCAAACCGCCCACCCTAAACCCCTAAACCCCCTAAACTCCAAACCCCCTAAGCCCCCTAAACCCCCGCTTCCTTACCGGGCTCCTGCAGATGGGTTCACGATGTAGGCCGTCACCAAGGGAGCCGTGATCGCCGTCACCACCAAGGACGCCGTGAACAGCCGGGGCAGTACTGGGGGACCTGGGGTGGGGAGGGGAAACGGGGGCGCGCGGA